TGGACTCAACTAAGAGCCTTGCAAATGTTGAGCTGGACTTACATAAATATATATATTTTTTAAGGACATGGGATGGGCCATATATGGGCAGATGCTCATTATCTGAGGATGGACTGCTGGCCTCATTAAACATGTTGGACTCATTTCAGTAAAATTAAAGATTTGTCTTTTCCTGTGTCTTATTTGCATATAATTTATATGACAGTTTATGTATAAAAATATATAAATTATAATAATATAAATAAGCATTTTGTAAAAATTAAAGTGTAAAGAATTTTAGAGACGTTCCCATCCAAGTAAATATAAATGTAATCTGTACATTGTGCTCGTATAATTGCCAGATGTACAGATTTAAAAAAAAAAAAAAAATCAATTTACTTGAAGACTGCATCCTTCAAAATGGCCACTACATGAAGCTGCCCTGCCCATAAGTGACCTACAATGCTAAGTGTAGGCCCGCAAGTGACCTCAAATGCTAAGTGTGTTCTGCATTGCAAGATCTTGCCTGAATTATAAGGCAGATGAGTTGTTTTTTGTTTTTTATTATAGGGAACTTGTTAAAGAGAAAAATGAGATACATCGTTAAACTATGCTTCTGTTTGACATTTGGCGGCAAGAATATTTAAATTATTTTACTCCCTACAAGAATCACCAAAGCATTTTGTTTTTATGACAGCTGCATTTAGTAAATGTTTTGGTATGTTTTTATTTTTTGTTTTTTTTTAACAGTTGATAGTTAAAATGTTGCCAAATGCTTTGGTTTTTTTTTAAATCCTTTTAGTGATTATATACTAGGTGTATATCTTCTGTACTGTTATGACCAATGAGATTTGTACCAAGATTACTAGGTATACAGTGATAGACTAACTGCTCTAGGATCAGGGCAGTTGGTATATGAGAGAGTTAAAATTAGAAGAATGAACAGATAAAAAAAAAAACATGAATGGAACGGTCTTCTGCAAAGTGCATATGTGACAAAGTCACCTTTGCACAGGTACACGTTATGTAATGTTTGTTTTGCTGGCAAAATATATACTTCCGTACAATGTCTCCTCCAATCTGACTGCCATGGATGGGACAGGTGGTGCAATACCATATGACACACAAAGCATTATTTCTAGTCTTTTACAGTTATGCTGATGGCTTATTATTAAAAACTACAAAGGTAAATATTAATACATTTAAAACAAAACAATACTAACCTAAATGCTATCAATGTTCTTACGTAGGAAATGCAAGTGTGGTAAGTCATAATCCAGTTTCAAGATTTCATTGACAGTTTTTGATGTATGGCCAGTATTGCATTAGGTCTTTTTTTCTCTCTCAACACAATTAAAAAGTTTCCAAGTCATTCTCAAAAAAAAAAAAAACGGGCTTAACTTAGCCTGCTATGTACCATCCAATGTTAAGAAGTCAGTCTTCAAAAACTTTTGATAATTGCATCAGTCCCCTGGCTACTCTACAGATATCGCTAACACGGATTTTCCAGTTTGACACCATAATCTTGGTGCAGTAGCAGATGACATCTGGCACCTTGACTACAGCTCGATAACCACTAAACTTAATTTGTCATCGTTAATCTCACGATTTTGAGATAGATACTCTGACATTGCAAGTTTTATCAACAACCAAAATGGATCCATCTTGAAAGGATCTGACTTGCCTGCTTGTCCCCTTTTTATTTTGTTGAGATGATAGTTTATTTGTCACTGACCTGTTGTGTTAGAAATGAACGCTGATATGCATGCATGTTTCTTTTAGAATATTCATATTTGACATGTTGGTTAAAGCACGTGTATTTGTGTGATCAATTTCTTTACTTTGTAGCTTTGGCTTAATAAGTCCTTTTTGGTGTTGCGTTTGCAAAGTGTTTAAAGGGGACACTATAGGCACCCAGAACACTTCAGCTAATTGAAGTGGTCTGGGTGCAGTGTTCCTATTGCACTTAATGCTGCTATGTTAAACATTGCAGTTCCAGGGAAATGACAATGCTTATATTACAGCTCTAAGTCTGCTTCCGCTGGCTGTCTACCAGACAGTCACTGTTGGCGCTTCCTACATCTTAACGGACGTTTGGTCCAGTATCTGACGCTCGATGTCCTCATGCTCTCTATGAGGACATCCACTGTCTATTTTTTTCCATAGGAAGGAGAGGTCTAATGTGCGCGCAGCATTTGCTGTGCATGCGCATTAGCACCCGCTCGTCGTGGGATGTCAGATGGAGTGAAGCATCGACCCAGCGCCAAGGGACATCGGCTCTGGGTTCAGGTAAGTAAATAAAGGTGGTTGTTGTGCTTTTTACCTTTTATTTACCGGGGAGGGGTGGTGCAGAGGAGGCAGTAATACAGCTTTGTATTCCTGGCACTAGAGTATCCCTTTAATGGTTCTATTAATATGTTTATAACTCTTCTTCCAATGGATTTCCGAATGGTTAATCTTGACTAACATAAGGTATAGGATTCTTTTTCACCCAACCAATAATGGTGGAAGTGTTGTTGAAAAGTGTAACAGTGCAACTAAAATAATGCTTTTCATCTCAAAACACAATGGTAAACATATTTAATAATTGTGATTGCCTAAATTGCAGCTGTATCACTATTTAGCAAACGAGACAGTTTATACCATGTCATTTTTACAAAATTAAATCCTGACACTGTATTTTTAAAAGCAATGTTTAGGCCTCCAGCTCCCCTCTCCTTACTTTTAAAAGGTAATTTTAGTCATTTTTTTTTTTTTTCCAGTGCTGCACTGGTCCTATTTTGACTGGACCAGTGTTAATTCTAGTCTACTAAAAGAAATTAAATTTAGTCAACTACAACTAGACTAAAACTAAAAATTCAGATTACTGAAATATGACTATTAAACCCTAAATTTAAATTTGCCTCCAAAATGAATACGGCACAGAGTGGCTGTGGAAGGATCAAAAAACACAGACCAGGACTTGAGAGAGAGACACCTAGAGGGGCTGGGAGGACACAGAGGGGCTGGGGAAAGGGCAAAAGATACAGAGACTTTAACTAAACACATTAGATTTTACTTGTGTTGACTAAAATCTACTGGAGATTTAGTTGACAAAAACAATTTAGATAACTAAAATTGGTTTTTAGTCAAAAGACTATGACTAAAGCTAAATTAAAATTTGCAGCCAAAATTAACACTGGGCAGGCACCATCTGTGTGGCTTAGTTCATCAAATCAATTCTGATTATCTCCACCAAGGAGATGGGCTGGGGGCGGGGTCAAACACCACCCTGGCCAATCAGCATCTCCTCGTAGAGATCCATTGAATCAGAGAATAGAGACACTAAACGTCAGTGCTGCACAACCCAGGAAGAAACTTTACTGGCATCTGAGTGACAGACAATAAGGTGTTCCGAGGCAGTAACGTTAAGAAAAGGCAGTGTTTACAGTAAAAAGCCTTAAGGCAGGCTATAGACACCAGAACGGCTACATTAAGCTGTAGTGATTCTGATGACTATAGTGTCCCTTTAAGATTTTCTGTGTGACTATTTTTTGAGTGCTTGCTGCTGAAGCAGTAATATCTGGCAAATTGTAGTAAAAAGTTAGTTTTTTTTTCTTCAAATGCCCAATCTGAAAATGCTTATAGAAGCATACATGCATGTCGTTGTTTACATGTCGCCTATTATCACATGTGAATTATAAAATAGGTGAAATTTGTTAGCTTAGTTTGGAGGTATAAAATATGCAGTTTAGATTTGTGATGATCAACTTTTCTATCAAAAGGATCTTACAGACCTTTGTGTTAATGACAGAAAAAGATGGCGGATTAAGTTACCAACGTTTGATTCCCATTGGCACGCATTGTTTAGAAAGTTTACAGACAGGTAACTTTTGCTTCAACTAAAAAAAAAAAAAAAATTACTTAAAGGGTTCCTCCAAACACCATGACCATTTCTACTTTTAAAAGGGGTCATGGCGGTAGGAGTCAATATGTTCAGCTTTTCTCGTGGCAGCTCTTGTGATGTCTGAAGGAGTAGAGGGGGAGGGGGTAGGGGGGGGTTGGGTAGGCACAGGGCACTCTTGGCACCAAGGGGCTTTGCCAGGGAGTACAGCAACGACGTCTACTCCTGGCGCTGAAGCAGACCTGCTAGAAAAAGATGGCCGTGCCTTTGAGGGACAGGTTCAGGTAAGTAAATCTCACCTTTACCTGCCCTCCCTCCAGCCACCAGACCTCCAGTGGCAATGTAACTTTAACCTTTAATAAACGATTAAAGAAGCTGAGATGAGTGGAGCAGTATGCATATAGGTTCTTACAGATTAAATATATACCTAATACAATATTGATGGAAGTCGTACATACCAAACCATTTCTATAATAACGATAAGGGCATATAATAAAGATATAAACTACAAATAATACTATAGCATAAAGGGTAGCAGCACATTATTTTAATTGCATACTTATCAAGTGTCCATATGGAGGCAGAACAGTCCCTATTTTGAACCCAAATCCCTCTGTCCCTCTTTTCCATGCGCTCTTTATTGTTGGTGTGTCTGAGTGTATAACAGCGCTCCACGGCAATAATAATCACAGTAATGTCTCTTTAAACACCAATAAATGTATTAAGAAACCAATCTGTGTAAAATAGATACATTGTTTTAATTCTGTATTAAATGTTAGCTGCATAAAATGTTTTTAATAAGTCACCAAATATTTCTCAGAAGATCCCTACCCCTGGCCACAACCCACTTACACCCCTATAATTAAAATATCATTATTTGTCTAAGTGATATGTTGGAAAATATGCACGCTTAATGATGAAAAAAAATATATATATATACATATATATAAAGAATGTGCGTGGATTCAATAACACAATACAGAGACAATCAATTCAGGAAAACGTAAAACATTTATTATCTTAAGCAGTAGACGGGCTAACCTTTACCAACATGGCCGCTTCAGCCTCAGTGCGTCGCCCGATACGTTTCCCTCGAATGGAATAGGTGATTGTTTGTCGCGGTGGATGACGTCATAGAAAGCAAGATGGCGGCGAATTGGAGGTTTCCAAGCCAAGTGCCTGCAGGTTTGATTTCAAAACATTTCTGGGGGGCCAGGAGTGGACATTGAGATGTCTGTATAGAGACAGTGATTAATAATAATAATAATAAGAAGAGCAGGATTTCTGAGCTGTAGGTAGTGATGGCAGATAGTGCTGTCAGTATGTAGCCATCCATAGGATCTGCCTGCTGGGTCCTCATTGAATTGCTGCCAATCATTGCTTCATGGGGCTATTTCTGTGTTATAGAACTAACATGTTAAAGGACTCCTTGTTTCATAATGTCACTTCTGTCCTCCAGCATTTCAGTCCCAGTGTGACAGTGACAAGGACTGCCTATAAATATATATATATACATCAAACGTTAGGACATGATACCTGCTCATGCTGAATGTGGCATCCTTATTTTTATTTGGATTTTATAATGCATTTATTTATCTATTTATTTATTTTATTGGTCAATTTGCGAGAATATAAAGGGGATAATACAGAATGTTGTGTCATCTTGCACAATGACAGTGAGATGTATCTAAGATACTCCATTCATTTTGTACACAGAGTAAAACCCTCTCTCTCTTGTAATACGTTATCTGCATACATGCACAATATTAGTTAATTGGTTTATATAAATTGCAAACTAAGGATTTGCTATACAAGTCCAAAGCAGCAGCACATGAGCAGCCCTAGGGTGGGGGAATTGAACTGCAGGACTAGTGGGGTGTGGATATCAGGCACTCAATCTCTTGCATGGCTCCATTCGGTTCTGATTATATATCTTCCAATACTGGTTATGCAGCCCTATCGCTCCTACTTATGAGCATATCCCATAAACTTGTGCCCTGGAGAGATTTATGAAATATTCATTTCAGCATTGGCAGCAGTTACTGTAACCACATTAATGAACACATCCAAACAGCTTACTGCTGTCTCATGAAGAACCTATAAATGTGATTATATTTATTTTTTCAATGAAAAGAAATCCATCTCTAATTGTTGTGGTCTGGTTTTATAGGAGTTGGTGGGTTTAAAAGACATTATGCACAGAGATAGGACCAGGGGACCTCCTTGTACCAAGTAGCATACATTGTGGTGCTTGAGACATCCCTTTACAATTTTTGAAATAATATTTTTGACTTCATGTAATAGTAACCAGTAGCACACATAAAGGCTGTATTTCACATAACTTTGTTTTATGGTAGGTTTTAGTTAGCCACCCACACCATATCATTAGTCCCAGGTTCCCTCTCTGCTCTGTCTTATTGGGCACAAGCTTTCTATATCTGGAAGGTTTTACTTTATATAACCCAACAGTCTGTATTTTACACTTACCTGGGGGTAATCTAGGGAATGTAGCAGTGGGTACGTTTATCTTCAATAACTAGTGTATTTGAAATACAACTCGTAGCTGTCATGCTCTTGGGTTATATACTAAATTCCAATTTATTATATATATATATATATATCTCAAATCTGAGTAAAAAACTGAGGCAAACATTGCTGATCTGTAAAAATTCTCAAACTTTGCCATAGTCACATCTTTTGTTTATTTTTGCCTACGTTTTTCTGTTTGAGTTCAAAATGCAAAAAAAAAAAGACTTATTGAATAACCTGTCTGACTAACCTTCTACTAACATATACCTTCCCACCTTACCATTCCCCCCACTTAAACTGTTTTCTTCGTCTTTCACACCCAGTAAATTACTCTACAAGTGGTTTTAACATGTTCATAAGTGTGTGGTGTCAGGGAGTAGATAGTATTTCTAGCTGTATTTGTCAGACTTTCAAAGTGCTAAATTGGAAAGGACAGTATTGTTTCATACAGTGACTGTCTCTTATTTTTCTTAAGATTCTGAAGTCCCTTTAACCACAGAGGATTGCACAGGTAGTGATGAAGACTCCAATGAAGCTGGTGAGCCTGAGATTTCTGATGAGTGTAGACATTTGTGGGATACTGTTATGAAGAATCCTTGTGATTTCAATGGCTGGACTAAGTTGTTGGAACATGCAGAAAATCAGGTGAGACTATTCTATTCTTTCCAGTAAACAGATTTTTTTATTGCAAGATAAAATATAAGCAACTATTTTGATTGCATTCTAGAATTATATTGTGTTTCTATGAGAAGTGATATATTGATATTGTCTCTGCCTGTTTCCCTGACATTCACACTCTAGCATGTTTAAAATGCTTACGTGCAAACTGTGTGATGAGTTTCCCCTTCTAAGGGAATGGGAAGGTAGCTTAATGAAGCAGTTTTAGTGTATAGTTCATGCCTTAGCAGTGTCACTATTTACATTTTTGTCATTTATGCAGCCCCAGCCAAAAGTCCCTTACCTAAGACTCATAGCCTTCCTATACACTACCTGAGATAAAACCATTTTATTTTTTTTTCACGGAGGCTGTCAGTCACAGCCAAGGGAGGTGTGGCTAGAGCTGCATAAACAGAAACAAAAGTAATTAAACTCCTAAATGGCAGATAATTGAGTACTGAGAATGCAGGAGCACAATCAGTGCACCAAAACTCCTTCATTAAGCTAAACTTGTTTAGACTATCCCTTTATGTAGTTTATACCATAACCTTACATAGTGTCACCTTTAATATATATCACTAATCTTGTAACTATGCTTTTCATTTTCTTTTCTTGCTATCCATATATATATATATATATATATATATATATATATATATATATATATTTATATTTCTGGAACTCTTTAGGCTGCTGTCTTCCTTTTGGCTAATTTATTTTTATCCCACATTCAACTGCTTTCTACAATTTGCACACAAAACTAAACCGTACTTCAATATTGCATGCAAACCTAATTTAAAAGAATAAACACAACTGTTTGTCATTCTGCCATGTTTCCTGTACGTCTTTGTCTCTATGTCACAATATGACTTGTCACTCATTCTGAAATTGAGTGTCCTGTAACTTTAAAAAAATATATATTTTCTCTTGAAGACAACATTAATAGGAAACCGGAGGATATATCATGCTTTTCTAACACGGTTTCCGTATTGTTATGGCTACTGGAAGAAGTATGCAGACCTAGAGGTCCAGTTTAAGAATCAAGAATTGGCTGAAGAGGTATGTGTTAAGTGACAATGACTGGGTGACGCACATAGAATATTGCTGTATTTATCACTAAACAATCATGTAGTTACAGGTGTGATATGACAGCTAGAATCAAGGCTCAGAATTCCCATTTGTCACAAAGGGCAGGTGTAAACTGATTCATTTACAATAAAGGAAGTGTAAACATTAGACGGTTCTTTACAGGAAGTGTTTAGGAATGCTGTGTAAGTCACATGCATAGAGTTGTGACTAGAGCAGTATAAAGTATGGTGATTAGTGATTGAACTCCTAAATGGCGTTCAATCACTGCAGGGGTATGATCTGTACACCAAAACTGCTTCATAAAGCTAAAGTTGTTTTGGTGCCTATAGTGTTTATTTAAAGGGACACTTTAGGCACCCAGACCCAGCTCATTGAAGTGGTCTGGGTGCAGTTTCCCTTTTGCACCAGATAGACTGCAATGTTTACATTGCAGCACTAAGTCAGCCTCTATTGGCTGTGTACCAGACAGCCACTAGAGGGCTTCCAGGATTAAAACAGATCTTTGGTCCGGTATCTGACGCTTGACGTCCTCACACTCTGCATGAGGACACCCAGCGTCAGATATTTTCCCATAGGAAAGCATTGATTCAATGCTTTCCTATTGGGAGGTCTAATGCTCGTGCAGCATTTGCCGTGCATGCGCATTAGAGCCCGCTTGTCGGAGGGGGCAGAGCGTCGGCCCAGCACTGAGGGACATTGGCGTCTGGCTCAGGTAAGTAAATAAAGTGTTTTTTACCCTTTATTTACCCGGGCGAGTGGGGAGGCACAGGGAGCTATAGTGCCAGGAATACAGCTTTGTATTTCTGGCACTATAGTATCCCTTTAACAAAATGTGTATTTGTAAAGTATTAATTAGGCATAAGCAACCTTCGGCACTCCAGATGTTTTGGATTCTACCTCCCATGATGCTTTGCCAGCATTATGGGTGTAAGAGCGTTATGGGGGGTGTAGTCCACAACATCTGGGGTGCCGAAGGTTGCCTATCCCTGGTAAATTATTAACCATATAAAATGGAACTCTGTCGTGTATAATAGTTTCCCATTGACCTTATAATACAAGAACCGATCTGTAAGCCGTGATCATCTTCACACAACCACCCTCACACCAACAGTTCTGCACGCCTATTCTGTCTCTTTCACCCACATCATAACTGATAAATAGACTTTAAAGCTCTGTGTTTTTGCTAATCCTACTTAATGGCACATTACGTTTCTTGTAAACAGGTCTTCTCCAAGGCATTGCAGGCAATCCCACTTAGTGTGGACCTTTGGATACATTATATCACATTTCTGAAAAGTAAGCTGGATATGAAACTGCCAGAATCTGTTGAGCGACTACGAGGGTGAGAAAAAACACGTTGATTTATACATTTATGGAAGTGTATGCGAGAGCAGATTCTGTAGGTTCAGTAAACAAAATATTAACTGATCTAGAGTCTCTGTGTTTGAAATGAGGTAACTGAAGCAGACTTCCAGGTTTGCCTTCCCACTGTCCGTGTTTTAACATTTTAATTTTAGCTTCCCTTTTCTCATCTTAAATTGGTGGGGTATATTCTAGTCACTGTGTGCTTTTGTTGGCTGCCTGTTTTTCTGTTTGTTTTTTACGTTAAATTGGATATTGGCATGCACATTGTTCATGGCAAGAAAAATTTAGCATATCCATTAATAGTTACAATAAGTCAGTACTGTCTACATTTCGCATTCAGGAGAGCCATTATCATTGCATTGTGTCTTCCCTTTAACAGCTGGGAACCTATAAACATTAAACTAGCTGGTTACCATAAATGTATTTATTTATGTATAAAATATTTTACCAGGATAATTACATTGAGATTTCTCTCATTTTCGAGTATATCATGGGTCCACAAAACATTACATTGTTACAATAGGGAACAATATTACAAAATATAATATATATATATATACATACACATTATTTATTATTTATTACCATGAATGGTTCTAATAGATATGTTAAAAAAAAAGAATGGGCATATTTAAAGAGAATGAGAGTTTGTGACAAAAGGTTAAAAGAATGAATAAACATAACTACCCAATAGTAAATGGCTGATGATATGGTAACTGGAGATCAGAGTTATTATAAATTTATAAGATGTTTATGTATGAGTCTAGAGGTGGAGAAAACTGTGGGGAGATGCCTACAAGGTTCTACACTTTTTTCCAGAGGAAAGAACCTTCCAAATACAATTGGTATCTTGTCTGTTATAGAATAATGCAGTCCCTCAACTTGTAGAATCTCTTCTTTCAAGAAAGGAGGTAGTTTTAATCCAGCACAGCGATATTCGTATATATACTGTGTTTAATAAATGTAGTTCAAGGGAGTGTTTATACTTTGTTGGTGACTTGAGAAAATTTAAAAACTAGCACTGGTGACAAAGCCGATATCCCCAAAAATTAGGCAGATATGTTTAACTCCTCTAGTCCCTCACACTGTTCCTGCATTTAGTGTTAAACCATTTTAACGAATGAATGAATGAGGGTCCCTTTGCTTGCCATAGCCCTGCCTCCTCTAGAGGTATGACTGAGGCAGAGATGACACACTTCCTTCTAACCATACCCATCCATACCTGAATTGGCTGAAAGCGGTCAGCTGACATTCTCAGAAAATCACAGGTGCCCACTGCTGCTCAGGCTAATGCTTCTTTGCTAGTCCAAGCAGGCCAGAGGGGATGGGCCGCAGGGAACATTTATATAAAACTAAAATATTTAAAAATGGTTTAGTGAATGGAAGGACAGTGCCAGTGGACTCCATACACTATATCCACTTCAATGTGGTTAGTGTCCCTTTAAATATTCACCACCAATCCTACCAAGTTTTAGAGATTGTTATTTGAATCTTTAATTACATGTTGGAAAGGGTTAGTTTTACTGCTTGTATGCTCATGATCATTCTAAGGGTCCTTAAATAGCAGATCAACTGGTGATACATTGAATTATCCATAAATAATGGGTGATAGTTTGTGGAAAATAGAGGGGATCACACCCTGTTTAAAAATATCTTGTAGTGCCAAGTCCCCCTTTCTCTTGGTAGAGTAAAGTTATATATTTTGTCCGTATCTTAAGTGTCAGAACAATGAAAGGATGGTTGTATGGGTAAGGGATCGATTTGCCATTGTAAAAATAAAGCTTTATTTCTAACCAATCTTGCTTCCTCTGTAGCCATTCACTGCTATCTCCCCTGCATCAGTCAATCATCCTTAATAGTATTATGGCTAGATAATATTTGTGTGAGTCAGCAGGCCCCTCTATTTTTGAGTTTAGTGAGCATATCAAAAGAGTGTTGTGCTCACTTAGTAAACCATATGAACTCCATAAACCTGGATGTCAAGAGAAAAAAGATTGCAGCCATTGTAAGGGTACCGTATAAAACAAAAACAGAAGTCTCTGTAGTTTCTTCATTTTCCGTTTGTTGATTATCTTTGGCTAGTGTTTTAAGAAGCAAGAATCACTTCATTGTATAGAATTCTGACATTTTCAGTATCATGTTGGGCTCCCGCCCTTCTCATACTTAACCTGGAAGTTCGATTGGTTTGAATACCTCTGTAACTCCTCCATGAAGGGTGGGAGAGAGTGAACGGGGTGTGTTGTGGAGAAGAGATTAGTGTCTTATGCTGAATCTTTTAAGAATGAGTTAGCTATCTCCACTTCTTGTATTGCCAGATTAACACTTCCTGTTGGATCACGCATGGCAGCAAAACAAATGAGACCCAGCACCAAACATTTGGTCTGCCTGTCAGCTGGGGGAAGACAATAATTGTTTTCTTGACTGGCACCTTATTTTGCAAGCTAGTTTTAAATGTGTGTATGTCCTCGGTCCCAAAAGCAAATCTTTAACAATATAAAATGGAACTGTCATGTATAATAGATTCCCATTGACCTTTAGCAGTATAGAATTTACCATGACCGTAGTGGAAATAGTATACTCGTAATTTCAAGAAAATATTAGATAATTGATTTTTAATAGTAGACAATTTTTTTTTTTTACTCCTATAGATATACACAAAAAGATGACTGAGCACATTGCAGGAAGTAATGCATTCAATAATAAAATATTTTCACAGGGGACATATTTTGTTAGAATTGTATTGAAACACAGGATATCCTCTTATCCAGCTTCTGTTGACCTATGGGTTTCACAGTTATAAGCCAGCCTGCCGATCAGCAGTTACTTAAAAGCTACTATTTGGCTACCCTTCATCTATCATTATGGTAGCAAGTATGTAAGACGTAATTGTTTCTTTCTTTTGACAGAGTATTCAATGCAGCATTGGAAGCTGCAGGTTTGGATTTCCGCTCCGATAAACTTTGGCTTTTGTACGCACAGTGGGAGAGGGACAACAGTTGCTTCAGAGAGGCCGCAGCAATTTATGATCGTGTACTGACAGTTCCCACTCAGCTATACCGGCAGCAATTTGACAGGTGTGAGAAACGCTTTATTACATGTAAAATCTCACTAACTTACACTGATCAGCTTCAACATTAAGACCACTGACAGGTAAAGTGAATAACATTGATTATATTGTTACCATGGCACCGGTCAAGAGGTTAGAATACATTAGGCATCAAGTAAACAGATCTTGAATTTGATGTGTTGGAAGAAGAAAGAAATAGGCATGTGAAAAGATCTGACTAAAGGAGTGACTTTGACAAGGGCAAATAGTGATGACTATATGACTGGGTCAGAGCATCTTCAAATTGGCAAGTCTTGCGGGGTGTTCAGGTATGCAAAGGTTAGAACCTACCAAAACTGGTGCAAAGACAGACAATCTGTGAACCGGCTCAGGGTCATGGGCATACAATGCTCATTAATGCACATGGGCAGTGAAGGCTTGTCTGTCTGGTCCAATCACACAGAAGAGCTACTGTAGCTGAAATTGCTTAATGATGGCGATGATAGAAAGGTGTCAGAAAACACAGATCATCGCAGTTTGCCACGTATGGGGCTCCATGACCGCAAAACGTTAAGAATGCCCATAATGACCCCTGTCCACCTCTGAAAAAGCCTTAGATGGCTATGTGAGCGCCGTAACTGGACCATGGAGCATTGGAAGAAAGTTAACTGGTCTGAAAAATCATATCTTTTATATCAGGTGGATGGCAGGTTGCGTGCTGGATGCACTATGGAAAGAAAACAGACCAGCAGAGGCAGTATTATGCTCTTGGCAATGTTCTGCTGGGAAACCTTAGATTCTGGCATTCATGTGGATGTTACGTTTGACATGTACTACCTACCTAGAGATTGTTGCAAGCCACGTAAACCCCTTCATGTGAAAGGCGTTCCCTGATGTCAGTGGCCTCTTTCATAAGGATAATACACCCTGCCACACGGCAAAAATTTGAAGAATAGATTGAGGAACATGACAAAGAGTTCAAGGTGTTTCCTTGGCTTCCAAATTTCCCAGATCTCAATCTGATTGAGCAGTCCTTGGATGTGCTGGAACAACAAATCAGACCCTCGCAACTTGCAGGATTTAAAGGATCTGCTACTCTTGTCTTGATGCTAGATGCTACAGTACATGTTCAGAAGACTTGTGGAATCCATGCCTCAAAGCATCAGAGCTAGTTTGGCAGCACGAGGGGGCCTACATGATATTAGTAAGGTGGTTTTAATGTTGTGGTTAATCGGTGTATAATTCGGCATATTTATGTCAGGGCATGTGCTCCTGCCCCTCTTTCTGTTTTATATTTCAGTCTTTTTCTTTCTGACATTTTCATGGTTACTGTCCATTTTCTAGGTTTAAAGGACTTATTGCTGTTGTCTCCCCTCATGAATTTATGAGTTTAGAGGAATTCCAGTGGATCCGCTCAAGAATTATCGAGCGGGAAAGCTTTCAGGTTCCTGATGAAGACACGGAATCAGATGATCTGGAAACAGTGTGTATTTATTTATAATATTCATAAATGTAAAGATGGTGTTGTATACCTACACTTCTGGGTGTGTGATTACTTCTGTATCATAGACATATTAATACAGCGCACTTATTCATATCTTCCTACAACAAACACTCAATTTGGTGTTCTGTATACCTTTACAGCTGAGAATAAGATAGCATGGAGAGTGAAACAATGTACTAGTCTACTACATGTTTTGTATAGGCAATAGGAATTTAGCTGTTATTGGCAGTCATTGTTTGGGTGGCAACCAATTAATTGTGGGTGCGAGCAGACAACTCACTGGAAGAGGAGAGAATTTGGCCTGAGAGTAAAATTGCAGGTACAGAGGATTAAGCAAAGATTTTGTAGACATAAAATGGCCATTTATAAGCAGAAGTGAAGTTTGTTATCCATCATCAGTATAATGAATGGTAGCTCTTGCACACTAGATGTATGTAAACTAAATTTTACATACACTGGATAAGCTTTACTTTAGATACAGTTTTCAATCAAGGAGAAAAGATGCCTTATTCCTTTGGAAAAATCTCAACATTTCTTTTTTTATTTTATTTATTTATTTATTGCTGAACTTAAACTCCTAACTTACTAATATGAGTAACTTCGAAATAGAGGCAGAGGGATAATGGTGTTAGTTGGGAGACTAACCCATCTGTAAGAGAGAGGCTAATAGCACCAAACAACCAAAATGTTATTGCTACTCTGGAAGCACACTAGATCTCTGGCACTGTGCCAGGGGTTCTTCGTGGCTTGGGAACCCTGAAGAATTTGTGGAAGGAGATGTCCTTGGCCTGCTTTGGTGACAGTAAGGCCGCCAGTAGCCTCCTCTGGCGGTGCGGAAGCTCTGCCACCTGGACGTCCTCAGAGATGCCCTTGATCTTCAGGTTTTTGCCACGTCTCATGTCCTCCAGAGTCGCAAATCTTCGGTCAGAGACGGCCTGCTGCTGTTTCAAGGCTTGTACCTACTGTTCGAGTGAGGTGATCCTCTGAGTCTGATCATCCACTGAAGCTTCAACTAAACTCAATCGGCATACGAAGCCTGTAAGGTTAGAATGTAGTGAAGCCATGTCCGCTTGAAGTATTTTCTTGAGTTTTGCCAGGAGCTCTTTCAGAATCTCCATCCTCACTGATTGAGATTCCGGTCTTCATGGCACTTATTGAGAGGGTGCTTGGGATGATAAGTCCGTAGTCTTTTGGCTTAGGGGAAACTCCTCTGAGAATCCGAGGAGTCATCAATTTCCGCGGCCATTTTGGGCCCACATGCACCCCGCATTTATCGGAAAAGATCTCCGATTGTCATGCCCGGTCTGGGAGCTAAATTTAGGCGTAGAATGTGACCCAAAAGTTCTGTTTTGTGCGGTCTTCCCGGAGCTCTGTAAGTGTGTGTTTAGTCTCCTCAACCGCTAGAATCCGCCCCTCACAACATCCATTTTTAAGTGAGAAATACATCAAATTTATTCACCCTGGAAATGTAGAACAGCTATAAATAGCAGTGTGGATATTATTTCCAATGTCATCCAGGATGCTGGTGTTTGGTTTCTGCCTAGCAGAAAAGAGGACTAAGCCATAATGAACAAGATCAAACAATATGACAACTGTTTTTGAGACTGCATGGGGCTTTACATTATTTTTGCATGCTTTTTGCTTTTCTTTTACATGAAAAGTAAAAGCAGTCTATACAGAGTTTGCTCTCCATGGAAAATCTAAGTTTTTTTTTTATTCTTGAGTGAATCAGCAAGGAGTACAGACGAGGCAATTTTTCATCGTTTGGAATAATAGGCAGTTTCACAACTTTTAACATATTTTTTGTAGAAAATGATTGACTTATATCCATCCTATGAGACTAAACACTTGATGATAAATTAACATGAGCAAATTAAACAATGTGGGAAAAGTTAATACCCAGTGAGGAGACCCTATGTCTTAAAGGTATGACTAACATTTACAGTTCTAAGAGAGAATATACCTCAACTGGAGGAAGGTAGCAGGTAGAAAGCATTCACTATTCAAAATAATACTATAAGTAATTTACCAGCCAGCAAGACATAGAAAGTAATTAAATTACTGAAAACAAATACGAAAATCCATAACATGTCTCTGTGATCAGGTCTTCAGAACTTGTAGGCATATTTCTATGATTAAATTACCAAAATGAGTGCGCTTGAACTGATGACAAAATAGGTCTATAAGTAGAAAAAACCAAATATAGTGCAGACAATCTGAATAATGTAATACACAGTAGGGGGTAATGGGGAGAACTCACATGGATCACAGCCCTATCACCCCTGGCTCTGGGTTTGTGCATCGACCCGTTCTTACAGCCTATAGTGAAAAACACCAAAGCATATCTAAGAGATACGGGCCATGTTTTGCGTCCGCTGGGGAAGGTGAAGTGGAGGGAGGGTGATATTCTTGTCACAGCAGATGTCTCGTCTCTCTTCTCCATCATCCCACACCTGATAGGCATTGAAGCCATTAGGTCCTTTTTTCCTCTACGGATCTATCTCCTGCACATCAGGCATTTCTTTTAGAGGGAATTAAGCTTATATTGACCAATAATTATTTTTATTTTATGGATTCTTTTTATTTACAGATTCTTGGAAGGGTGGTGGGAACTAGATTCGCACCAAGTTATGCCGATTTATTTATGTCCCATTGGGAAGAGTCTTACATCTATGGGGATCATAGCTGGGTGCAGAATTTGGTCACCTATCATCGTTACATTGATGATTTGTTTTAGATCTGGAGAGGCTCCAGAGAAAAGCTCCTGCTATTTTTTGCATACCTTAACTCTAACTCTTGGGGTGTTGGACTTACCATGGACCATAGTGACAGCCAGATACATTTTCTGGACCTAAGGATTTTTATTTCAAATGGTAAGATCTGCACTGAAACCTTCTTTAAGAAGGTGGATGTGAATAGTTATTTTTTTTTTTTGATAGCTGTCACTATTACCCCTGGTTGAATAACATCCCTAAGGGGGAAAATGATGAGATTTATATTGTTGGCAAAAAGCTGGCCGATATAACACATTATCTGCAAATGTCTTCTTTTGTCGCCAGCGTATTGGTGTCCCCATCCAGGATAGTTGTTTCTTGGTGGTCTGCCAGGGAGAACTCATCCAGTGTGTCCAATAAGTAATACTCTGTTGTAAGTGAAGGAGCTACTTCACTAAACACCATCTTGGACCTGTTTGGCCTTTGGAGAAGATCTATATTCCAGGATTTCTCTAGTGTTGTGCATCAAATCTTTTTCAAATGTTTGCCCATGGCTGCAGAAGGGGATTCTGAATATATCATAAAATTGGATTCTAGGTCCATAAAATCAAGCATAAAAACAGCAGGTCGAAAGAATACAGCTCATTAGACACGTGTCGACTCTCAGTGAGGTTTGGTCCGCCTCCCAAGTACAATTTTTACTCACTTTTTGCATGCTTTTTTACATTCCATGCTGTTTGTTATACTATCTAAATCCACCTATAGGATTTAACGTTTCTAATAAGCAGTGTGTATTTGATTTACTTTAACCATGTTTGTCAAATGAACCATTAAGATCAGATTAAGTAGACATTTTAGTAAATTCAGTTACAATCATTCAAATAGTTTAGTTAGAGCAAAATATGGGCCAAGATACATATGTTGTGATTTTTAACTGACAAAAAAAAATGAGTGGACTTATAGCAATTCACAGATTACTTGTTATTTAATTTAACAATCCTGTAAAAACACTGTCGAATTTTCTCTGATCTTTATTGCATCAAATTACAAAAAAAGGGGAACATATAAACCTACAGAGGTAAAAAAACAAAAACAAAGATGCACCTAGTTTAAAGGGACACTATAGTCACCAAAACTGCTTTAGCTTAACAAAGCTGTTTTGGTGTATAGATCACCTGCAGTCTCCCTGCTCAATCCTCTGCCATTTAGGAGTTAAATTACTTGGTTTATGGAGCCCTAGCCACACCTTCCTGCACGTAACTTACACAGCCTTCCTAAACACTTCCTGTAAAGAGTCATCTAATGTTTACACTTCCTTTATTGCAAATTCTGTTTAATTTAGAATTTCTTAAAATAAACTTTTAAAGTAAGTTACATCTGATTGAAAATTAAACCTTTGTGTTTTCATCACAAAAGTGATTTAATTCCTAAGTGGCAGTAAATTGAGCAGTGAAACTTCAGAGTCATGATCTATACACCAAAATGGTGTTATTAAAGCTAACGTTGTTTTGGTGACTATAGCATCTATTTAAGCTATTTGAAGACATTGCCTTACCCATTAATAACCTCAACCGCAAAAAAATGTTTAATCTTGAATAAGAATGTATTTACTAAATTATATGATTTCTTCAGAACCATGTGGACACATCTTTTCTAAACATATAGTACACACAGACATTACAGATGCTACTAATTCATTTAGTGGACACGCAGTACTGTTTCTTTTTAAGGATCATGATCTTCAAGAACAGATTCGGGATCATTTTATTAAAATACGGGAGCAAATATTTCTTCTAAATGAAGCTGAAGTCCGAAAACGTTGGACTTTCGAAGAGGCAGTAAGTGAAGACTTCTTATATTAGAAACCATTGAATACCCTTTATTTATTGTGATATTACCTATAGATTACTCTATGCATGTAGACTTTATAAATCTAACAATTTATTTCCGTATAATGACTACTCTTTCAGCATTGCCTAAAATTTGATGTGAACGGTGTGTATTTTGTTAAAGGAACACCCTTAGCACTATAACCAGTACAGTACATTGTAATGGTTATATTTTTTAGAAGTCCATAGGCGGCATACTGTTTTTGTTTTTGCCCAAACTGTTTGTATGTAATTATTTAATTTAAAAAAAAAAAAAAAACCTCTCCTGATATCAGATGATCAGAAACCTGCAAGCCTATATATATGTCATGACAGGTTTACTTTAAAGGAAAATTGGGTGTTTTTTTTTTTTTTTTTAATTTTCTGTTAAATAAAAACATGTAAATAAAAAACTTCCTCCGGCTTCCAAATTAACTTTCATGGGGTAACTGAAGCTGATCTGCAGGCTTCCCCCAAGCACATCCTGTTTTCCCCTTCTGCATTCCAGCATGGCACACTTCTTGTGTCTGACCTGCTATTGGTGAGGGTATCTATCGGTTATTTGATTGGCACTTTTTTGGCCGCTCATCCGGAGTCTGGTGTAGTGAACAGCGAGAAATGTAACATAATGCTCTTTATGAGCAGCCAAAAAAAGTGCTGTGTTCAAGACTGCAAGTGCTCTCACATCAGCAGGTTCATAAAGAGCATCCTATAGGCTATCTAATGGGAGAATCTGAGGAGTAAACCTGAATTGCCAGAGAGGATCCTACAGTTCTGCATCACCTGCCTGATGAAAACTCAATAAGAATTTTTAACACAGAGTTTCTTTGTTTTACATTATTCTGTTTTCTCATGTGTGAAATGTGTACAATAGACATCAAAACAACTTAAGCTTACAGCTTTTAGTGTATAGATCATGCCCCTGCAGTCTCACTGCTCAATTCCCTTCCATTTATGAGTTAAACATATTTTGTTTCTTTTTATACAGTCCTAGCCGCACCTCCCCAAATTAAACAGACTGTGCAATATAGGAAGTTTAAACATCAGACCTCACTTAAGAATGCTAAATGTGCCTGCATTTTTAACAAAAGGGGTCAAAAGAATATCTTATATTCTCTCTCCTAGTAACTTCTGGGTTTATGTGTATCTCTTTTTTTTTCAGTTACAAACATAGGCCTTGATTTCACATTTTTGAATAACCTTTTCAAATTATTTTATATTTTTGGCTACATGTTTAAAATATCTAAAATTATATCAAACTATTAAAATATTTTTCAAAATATGAAATAATTTGACAAGTTTATCCAAATATATTAAATTTAAGGCTGTAATTTGTTAAATATTCATCCCAGTTTTTTGTTTGTTTTGTTTTTGAACTTCACGTTATTGTGCAAATTGCAGTATCTTGGAATGCCGTTTCCTTTGAACAAATACTATTTATGCTGTTCATCCAGTGGTAAAAATACAAGATGCTGCACTTTTATTTTGAATACAATCTCAATGGATATCAGAAATAAATTAAGTTTGCATATCAAAGTGGAGTAACATACAAGCTGGATAAAAGGAGGGCCTACGCGGATTTACAGTAAGCTGGATGCCAGGGCAGTTAGTTGGCCATTGATTAAGGTTTTCAAATTGCAGTGCAGGTGAAACACCAGTCAAGAGGACTATTATATCTGTGGAACGCGTGTAACATCCGACATACGAAGGCAAATTTTATGCCAACTGTAAAGATTTTCCACCTCTAATTTTCCAGCTCTGCTGCTTTGACCTTCATTTCCTTTTATGTGCCATGTGCAATATCTTTTATTCCTTTCTGTGCCATAACGAATTTCCATCCTTTGTCTGATAGCAGAACTATAGTAACACTTTCTAACTGACTAGCGCTCAACACAAGCAGGGATTTTCTCTTCTAGGTATACAGATAAAGTATTGTGGTGCTACAAGCTTTAAACATCTGTTATCCCACCATTACCAGAACTTTTCGCTTGGCCTGTGTGAAGATATCCCAGATGGAGAGCTGCAGTTGCTGGCTGGTTTTTAAAAGCGTAACCAATCAGACTTGCCATTGACTTCTGCAAAGTGGCATGTACACAAATAAGTACAATAAGCATATATACATAAACTTGGAACGTTTTTCTTCACTTTACTCATTGACACATCCCTTATACTGCCACCAAACTCTCATGTGGCTCTCTTTCTAACCATGTCTTACATACTTTTCCGTAGATACTTCGCCCTTATTTCCATGCATTGCCACTCTATCATTCTGAGCTCCAAAACTGGAGGAAATATCTGGAATTTGAGATCTCTGAAGGTCACCACAACCGTATAGTGACTTTATATGAGCGTTGTTTGGTGGCCTGCGCACATTACGAGGAGTTCTGGCTATCTGTAAGTTCCGTATTGATTTCATTTGGCTGTGTAGAATGACAGTATTTGCAATGAATGATAAACGCATGAACTGAGTCATAGGGTGTACCGCAACTGACAAATCCTTTTATTTCCTATAATCATGCTACATATCTTTATATTCAGTATGCAAAATATATGGAAAATATTTCAGTGGAGGAAACAAGCTTAATATTTCAGCGAGCTTGTCAGATCCACTTACCAAAGAAACCAACTCTGAATTTCGAATGGGCTATGTTTGAAGAAAAGCATGGTAAGTCTCGTAATGTTTCTTTGATGTACAAACCTGCACTATAATTCGCAGTTAGCCAGATGCTGCATCAGCCCATCTATTTATTCCTCTCCCTCTAGGGAAGCTAGATTCTGCACGTTCCATCCTCTGTGACCTAGAAACGCAAGTTCCTCGCCTGGCTATCGTGCGCATGAAGAGGGTGAACTTGGAGCGAAGGAACGGAAACCTGGAGGAGGCAGAGCGGCTCTTGCAGGAAGCTGTAGAGAAGAATTTAGGAACTGAATTGGCAGCCTTTTACTCTATAAAGCTGTCTCGATTTCTTCTGAAATCTCAAGGAGAGCTTGAGAGGGCTAAAGAAGTAGTCATTCAAGCTTTGAAAGAAGAACCGGTGAGAAAGGGAGTCAGTCACTGGGAAATGCAAAAGCTTTGTTTATATTTGGTATAGATCGAGTGTTTTTAATAATTTGGTAATGCTGAATGATTTCCTTGTAATATTTTATATTCTTAAAAGGTATCCAGTAATCATTCATCTGCATGCACTGCAATGCTTTCAAGGTAACGAATATATCTCTACATATGACTTATCCCATAATCATATAGTGTAGGTCCAGCACTCATATTACGCAACTGATAATGTCTCCCGTCACTAAGTTAGTAGAAACATTACTCGCAGAGTTTACAATCTCCTATAAAATGCACACTAAATACCGATCTTGTGCATCTTATACTTCAGTATCTCACACTCCAGAACGTTTTGTTCTGCCAAGATCAACATATAATGTTCTGTTAATAAGGTTGTTTTTTTGGGGAGCTCATTGCCTTGCAAAGCTAGTGAGTTATATTTCTGTGGCTATCTTCTTTCTAGGATAACGCTCGATTGCATCTCTATTTGATGGAAACTGAAATGTCCAGAGAAGACTCAGAGGCTGAGAATGACATTATGCTATGTGCAGAACGGGCACTGCAGAGCAGTCTGCATGACAATATCAAGATGATCATTTCTCAGAGACGCCTTGAGTTCCTGGAAGACTATGGTTCTAATATTACCAGGTATCAATAACAATGTCCCTATGCGACTGGAGTAGAAAGTGAAAATAAAAAATTCTATTTTATATTCTCTTGGAAACCCATCATCTAATGACAAAAGGCTGCATGTCTTATAGTCCTTGCGTTTGACATTTTGTAATACATACTTATCCTTATTAGTTAATAACTTTTTTTTTTTTTTTTTTTGCATTTCCTTGCTTTAAGTCCTCCTTGGTTGGAAGCACAGCATATCCAACCGAAGATCATCTAGGTAACGAAGAAGTTCCCAATCACAAATCTTGATCCTGAGGAGTGAGCTAGAGTGAAAATAACATGACTATTATTTCTTATTTTCTTTAGGTTTATATTTTTTTTCTTTCTCTCTGGATTTATCTGGATGTTTCTGTGCCCTGCATGTGGGATTCCCTGACAACTTTGACGTACATATGTTTTTCAGCTACAAGAATCATATGGAACCGTTACAAACAGTCACATGATACGTGGTGTTAAATAGTAGCATAATTAATATTTAACTTAAAGGGAATCTTCAAGTTCTATAACAGTTTAGGTACCTTAAAACAGCACTGTCACCGTCTGGGGACTTTGACAAATTCAAAGAAAAAAAAACAAAACACTGACATGGCTGCTGGTGGTCCGACGAAAGTGCAGCATTTTGGACTATGGAGGATCCCGTTAGATTCTCCAAAGATATTGTCAATTCCTACTACTACTACTACTTTGTCTCGGTATATCTCTTGACTGGGTGGGAATTTCAGTGAAATTCTAACACCGTTAAACTGAGTATTTAATAAATATTCAGTCTTTATGAAATACTCATTGTTCGGGATATTCAAAAAGAGACCTATAGGCACAAGAACATTGTAAAGTAGCTTCTCACAGGACGTGGGTCTTGTATGGAGTGTGTCCACCTCACTGCCATTCTCCGCACAAGTGTACATGTACAGCCAAGAGATTTAGAGTATGTTTATTTTTTTTCATTGCGCTGCAGTTATAAGGTTTTAGGGTTTACTCACTAAACAGTGCATTGTAGTGAATTGAAAAGCCAATCACAAGGTTCAACTTTAAATCGCAAAGTTGTGACTATAATGGAGTTGGAGACCTTTTCCATATCTGTTTTTTTGGGGCTAAATTCTGCAATTTGGTTTTCAGTTCATTACAATTCAGTGATTTAGTAAATTATGTGTTGAGAAACAGGGGATCTGCTTGCACCATAACTGATGCAAGGCTGTTTTTATGGTGCTTGTCTTCAAAATGTATTGCAAGTGTACATTTGTCAGACAATTCAACATGTTCCAACACATCATCCTGCTTTTGTGAACACTACCGCAGCCATGTGTTTTGCAGAACTTTCTTGTTTACCTACATGAAAGGTATGTTTTATATCTGTAACATCCCGTAAGTGGAATTCTGACCACCATAACCACTATACCTGAAGCTTCATAGCACCATTTTTGAGGGGTTTGACACCTGGGTACTGTAGTCTGGCCCTTTTTTTAGATATCGTGGAAGTGACATCAATTACCATCTTTGAATCAAATTCATTGGCTGGCTGTCAGGTGATGTTCTCAGGCTACAAATTCTGTCGAAATAGGGACGATGTCATTAATCTGCTGCAATGGAAATTGCTCCCAGGTAAGAGGAAAAACGGTTTGCCGCAATCCAGGAAACGGCACCACTTTGTTCCTGGCATCATAATCAGCTGGCCCTAGTAGATATGATGCTTGGAGTAACCTGGTAACACACACCTATGCTGCATAATACTTAATTCAAATATTGACTTTTTTATTTTTTTTATTATATAATAACTTTATTTTTTGTTGTTGTATCTGCTCATTCTTAAGATTTCATATAATGTCCAGGTTATCACGCAAACAAGTTGACAGTGTGCTATCTGCACCCAAGCTGAAATAGTATCTATTTAAAGTTTAGAATGTTGTGAATATTGAATTATTAATTATATTAAATAATATACTCAACTTCTCTGTATCTAGCTTCAGCAGGACTACAAGAAAATCATAATTTGAGAATAATTACATATAGTTGTAAAAATTTAATATTTAACACAAGTGCTGCAAAAAGCTTTAAAGCGGGCACTCTAAGCACCAAAACGGTATTAGCTTAATAAATCTGTTCTGGTGTATATATCATGCCCTTCCAGTCTAACTGTTCAGTTATCTATGGTTTAGGATTTAAATCACTTTGTTTATGTAGCTGTAGCCACACCACCCCTGGCTGTGACTCATGGAAAAAAGGGTTATATTTTCAAACTTATCTTAAAACACAATGTGTTTATTTTTTAGAAATTATTAACTCCTGCTTAGTTAAACTCTATTCACATACAAGAGACTTTTGGCTCTTGTAGGCAATTAAGAGTCAGGAGTTAAGAACCTCTAAATTAAACACACTTTGCAATAAGGGAAGTATAAAAATTAGACCTTTTTCCGGAGAGTATATAGAGAGACTGTTTACGTCGCAGCCAGGGGAGGTGTGATTAGGGCTGGATTCCAACGATCTGACTGTCCATAACTTAAAGATCCCAGCCATGTTCAACATTTGTCAACAGACCAAGACAAAAGACCTCTTTTACCTTTTCTAAAAAGTAAACCAGCCCTCATATTGGAAATCGTGTGATACAAGAATCATTACGCTACTCTGATAATGCAGGATAATAAACCTGACTTTTTGTTTTTGCTTAGACTTTGTCAGATAGGTGTAATTTCAACTCTGTCTTGTTTTTTAAACCTCTGCTTTTGACATTCAAGTACAATTTGACATGTTAATCTATGCCGGTTTTTAAGATTTCTAACTGGTAACCTCTGTCCCTGTGCCAGCCAAGCCGATGCAGCTTATCAGTGTGTCATACACTGCCTGGATTAGAGAGACTATTCCAATTGACATTTTAATGTAGCATCAGTTATTGTAGTGATTATAGTATTATACGCATAAGAGTCTAATAGAATCTGGAGCTCTGCATGGTGCCCATAGCCTTTATCACATCCCCATGGGATGCAACATTGATTGAGTTGGTATGATAGACATGTAGTACACATGGTGAGATAAGATAGATGCATGTTCCTGACAAAAATCAAGTAAAGTTATTTTATCTTATGTCATCTTCCATTTGCATGGAAATTCCAATAGAGTCTGGATTTTCCATAAACAATCCTGTCTTTATGAAAACTCAGGTAATAGTCCCTCATTGAATCTGTACAGCCACAGAACCATTAACGATACATTAACATGATTTTGATACTTTGCTTACATCGCCTTGATTTACACAGAAGGTCAGTACCATATCACCTGTGAGAAAAAGGAGCACAAATTAGTCCCACCCCAAGGTTACTACTAAACTTAGGATGACAAGGAAGGATAAACTCCTACATATAACTGGTAGTTAAGGACTAACCAAAACATTAAAGGGACATTCAATCTCTACAACACGTGTCACACAAAAGATTACAGGAAAAGGACTGCCCCAAGTGGATAAATAGTAAAAATAATAATAAAAATACAATACTTATATCAGCAGGTAAGACAATACAGTATATGAAGTCTCACTGAAACAGTGGGACTAGGATTCTGGTGAAATCACAAAAGAAAATTCCAAAATATTAAAGTCTCACTTATAAATGTCTTATAAGGTGGTTGTTTTGGGTGTAGTGTCCTCAGTGCTGTTAGTGGTTCAACCGTTCTGCTTGTATGTAAAACAAAAGCGAGGAAGACCAACAGTGCAGTACGTACAAGCCAATATGGATAAAATAAACAAATATGTACTGTCAACTCACATTTAAATGAGCTATAGCCAGCTCTAGTGTTAAGAGCGTACAGCGGTATGATCCCCGCTTTAAAGGATGTGATGGGAGTGTTCCAGAGAGATGGTGTCCACTCTGCCAATCTAGCCTGTGTGCTGGGAGTGCTGTGTTTTGTGAAGTCAGTGGTTGACCCAAGACATTTATCGCTGAGTGAGACTAATATTTTGGATTTTTCTTTTCTGTGATTTCACCAGAAGCCTAGTCCCACTGTTTCAGAGAGACTTAATATACTGTATTGTCTTACCTGCTGATATAAGTCTTGTATTATTTTTACTGTTGATCCACTTGGTGCAGCCCTTTTTCTGTAATCTTTTGTGTCACACCTTTACTCTTCAGAGGGTTACCTTCACTTGGGCTGCGGCCTACTACACTTCTAATTTTATTAGCGCTGATCCTTCTCCATTTTTTCTATTCAATCTCTACAACAGCCTATGAATGTTGCATAAGTGACACTATTCCTGTGCCCATAGCATCATCAGCATCATCCTCCCATGATGCTCCAGGATCCCTTGGACATCTACTTTAAAAAAAAAAATCATATGGGTGTTTATTCAGGAGTGTAGAGATTTTGTAGCATGCCACGTGCCTACACAGCACTGTAGGGTTTACATTATATCCTGCAGCCATGATTGGATACCCAGGCATACAATATAAATTAAAAATAGAAGAAACTCCGATATAACCGTTATACTTTAAGGAACTTTTAAAAATGTAAAATACATGGAATATCTAGTTCATGTTTCTACATATTGTAACACTTTCTTTGCTATTTGTTTTTACCAAGCATGTAACCCACACAAAAATGGAAGAAGGTTGTGAGCATATGTGATTGTTTGATATTATCTGTTGGATACTTCTATGGTTATTGGTTATAGGTGTTGGGATCTGATAAATGTCTTTGTGACCAAATTGTAAGTGTTTGTTCCTTTGGTGTGGTACTAATGAACTACAATCCTCGTAATGGAATAGCATGTTACTGGATTTTTTTAAATTTTGCAATTTGGGGGTGACTCCGAACCCCATCCTTCTTGCACTGGCTGAATAAGGAGGTTATTGTTTGTGGATGTTGTGCATGCGTTAGAAGGGATCACTTACGTGGTCTCTGTTTTTAGGTGGAGACCAGTTCTATTCAGCAATGAGGAAGAAAACATTTTGTAATAAATGTTAGTGGATATTATTTTACTTTTCTGCAAATACAAAAAACCTCTTAAGATTTTCCCTTAATGGAACAGATATTGCAGACAAATACTCTAACCTCCAGGAAGAGACAGAGCTACGATTGGCTGAATACCAATCGGCATACAAAGCTCATAAAGAAGGTAAATTTGACCAGGATTCCAATGATTATAAATTTGGGGAAATGTACTCTTGGCATATAACGAGCAGGAGTCACCACCATAGTGTAAATAAAGGGTTGATTTGACTTAAGTAATGTAAGGCATGTCCATATATTCAATTCTATCCACTGAACATTTATTAGAAATTTTCTTGATTCTTGTACAAAAATCTTCCTTCATTGCCGAATGACAGGTCTGCATATAATATGGAGACCTAGTGGGTGCTCTGTATCCAGCAGTGTCCATGAGCATAATGTTGTGTAGTCTATGCCCAATCAGTTTGAGTTTTTCACAATTCATTATGACATGGAGAAGATTTAAAGTAGAACCAGTTAGCAAGTGCTCTCTGTGTGAAGGCTACTGACAAGAATATTTTACCGAGATTTTTTTTATTTTTAAAGATTTCAGCCGCAAAACACTTTTGCTTCTGTCCCCAAACATTCTTTTATATGCATATGGAGGGATGGTCTTAAATGGAACGAGGACTAAGGCTCAGTTAGAGTGTATGTGTGAAAAGTTTACCCAAATGGCCAATTGTTAAAGAAAAAGTTTATACCCATTCAATATTGCTATAAAATGCAATGAGGTCCCTTAAGCATTGTTATTGATTGATGTTTATGATCTATACCCCTCCATGGGTGGACATTCCTCATTACGTATGAATCAAAATACTTCTAACTTCAAGAAGAGTAATTGATATCTACCTTTATCATATAGTAACTTGAAGAGAAGGTGGATTGTATTAACGAGTACTAATTGTTTTTGTTGCTTACATGTACGTAAATACAAATTGTAAATGTGTTACAGTGGGGGTATCACCTGACATGTGTTAGCGTATTACTCTAATTCTCATGACAACCTTATCTTAATAAAGCAGTATTTGTGTGTTGATCATGACCCTACAGAATGGTTGTTTTCAGATGGTGCAATGCTGAGAGTCAAGGCGTAGACAGAAAGTTAAAGCATGTTATTACTGTGTTTCACTCTATAGGATATTTTTGTCTTTACAGTCTATTGAATGCCTACGATGAACACCAGAAGCTGCTAGTAGAGCAGACAACTAAAGCAGAGAATGAGTGAGTGTTTCCTAATGATTTGACTTGATTTACTTGGGAGTCTGCCAGTCAGTTCTTTAATTGGGAGCTAGAAACTCCTGCTAGGAAATCAGCATTTTTAGAACTGATTAACCTCCCTTGTTCCAAATAGCTAATACTAGTGGCAGGTGTCTCCAGCACAGACGTTTATCACTTTGGCAGTGTTCCTAGCACAAATTTAAGTCTGTTTTGGGGAACGAAGGGTGGACTTGCAATAGCTGCAGCTTCTTTAAACTGTTTTTCATGTAACCCCAAAGAAAATACGCAGAAAAATATATATATGTGCATGTTTTCTTTGGGGGTATGTATATTAAATAATGTGGGGGAACAGTAATTTGGTGTTTTGAAAGGAGAATATGTGACCCAGGATACACTGTATCTTTCTCTTTTCAGGAGCAGTGGGCATATAGAAAATGAAAAGACCCAAAATGATAGGCTTACCATTGCACCACAATATTCAACTCATTCTCCTATAGTACCAACACCCCCCTATCCTCTTATCCTCCCACCTGGACCAGTGATGCCACCCCCTGGGCCAGTAATGCCACCCCCTGGACCAGTGTATGGTGCATCAACACAATCAACTAGCATGGATGGCTGTAACCTTTGGTACCAGGTAAGCACAGAGCTCAAGTTTGTTATTTAGTTTTACTTACATAGACTTGTCCGTTAGATTCATGAAGCAATCTCTTTTTCTCTTAGAACTACAGACAATACAATCCTATGTCCTGGAATCCACACAGATATTTCTTTCCCCAGTGACATCAACTCGTACCAACAGGAGTGGTTATTTTTCAAACATCTGAATCCAGAAAAGGGCGAATATAGAGACAGAACTCTGCAGATTAGTGGACAGTTCTACGGCTCAGATTTTAGCCTTTATACTTGTTAAAGAGAGAGTGCCAAGGAGCTATGCAGTACTGTGGTTCATTACTTACTGGTGGACTAGTCTCTACCAAACCAAGCAAAAGAGAGAGTTTTACTAAACAGATGTTCCGTTTGTTGTAGAAGATTAGACTCCAGTACGCTTTACAGCCTGTCCTCAAACGTGTCAAAGCACAGAGACAAAAATTGTGGTAAACCTTGGAACCCCTAAAATGGCAATTGTTTGCCTGGTACCATCCTTAGATCCAATAAGTTAAAGTGATTCGGGTCCTCGTTAACCAATCATGGTGAAGTGAAGATTCTTCTGATCTTGCATGCTTGATTTATCTAAGGAGGCAGATTTGATACGATTTCTCAATATTTATATGTACATTTTTATTTTTTTTTACCACTTTGCAAATTTTACTTTATAGAAATATCGTGATTCCATTCTTCAAATTTGTTGGGTTTTTCTTTTTGTCAACAGCTCAGGAAATGCAGTTAATGAACAGAAAGTCTGGGCCTTTGGTTAGGCTGGGGCACATTGAAGGTTGAAATAAACGTATGGAAACGAGGATGATAGCAGGAGGTTTGATGTAAATAGGGAATTTAAATGGAGAAGCATAGGTTTGACAGTGGAGTCACCCACCCACAACTTGGAAACAGCTCGTAGGACTCCCCTTTTGTTGATTTTGTCCAAAATCTTTTGAGCAACATTTATCAGCCAATATACCCCTATCGTACAGTTTAGTATTTATTAAGTTATATAAATTTGTTCAACAACTACAGTATGTTGTTTGTGAACACAGCTGTTTTTTGTTTATTTTTTTTAAATACAGAATGTGATTAATTTAGTATTAAAAAGGCACTGGTCATGCCCCCAAAAATATGCGCATGATATTGAGCATAAGATTTTATCTATACATTGTGCTAGCAAATGTTTAGATTAAGAGAAAAGCCTATTTTAAAAAGTAGGTTTTTCCTCACAGTTGTAAGTCAGTACCGAGGCATTGAATGACAAGCGAGAGCAAAAAAGACCTCCCTCAGAAACCAGAGCATGTGCTATGGTTGCTATGGAAACTCCATACTTGGCGCTTCTAGCACTGGCTAGGGAGTATAGGAACGTCACCCTGTCCCCAAACTGGCAACGAAGCCAATGTGCTGACCAAAAAACTGATGAGATTTGCCCTGCTTGGGGTGTGTCCGAAGCAGGGAAAAGCAAAGAGACCAGGAGTAGCCGTGGCGGAGTAGAGTATGGCCAGGAGGTCGATGTTACACACATTTTAGCTGGTACCTTTCAGAACCACTTTTGCCTCTGTATTACAAATATTAGCTTAAATTGTTTGTGGGTGTCCTTTATTTTAAATGTATTTATTTATTTTTTTCTGTGTAAATACAAGATTAAAAAAGTCAGTGTATATGAAAATGTCATTTATTTACTTATGATACAACAGGGGTGCACATTAACGTTCCCCACCATTCAAGGTTATTCACTAAACTCTAAACTCTAAACATTTTTATAAATTACATTTGAATGAAACAAAAAGGGTCAAAAATAGCTGATCTATATTTGCCTCAATATTTCCATTTGGATTTAGTTAATTTCAGAAGTAAATAACCCTTGACTATCTTTGTGATGACTGGTTGCAGGAACGTTATTACCTATTTGGACATGAACCACACTGGTGCTTTGCTCTCAACCCAAATTATGGAATCCAAACAACTGTCTGGATGGCTGAAATATAAAAATTATAATTCATCGCTGAAGTTTAACTCTAATAAATAGTTTTTTTTGTTTTTTTATAGCCTTATTTTTTTTTATCAAGTGTTGAGATTTGAGGGCAATATCAACTTTTACTACACACTTAAAACAAGAGCCTAGTGGCCAAAAAGAGGTCAAAAGCCTTTGTCTGCAAGCCAAGTACGCAGTTCCTTGTCATAGTAACCTTTGACCCTAATAGAGCGGGTGATCTCGTTTACTTGAGTTGGTGGTGTCTTTCCTGTCAGATGAGTTAAGAATTCTCGTACTTCTGAGTCCAGACTCTGTAGTGTGTTAAGAAAAAAAAAAAAAAAAATGTTAACTGGTCACAAATGGATTCCCATAGTTTATTATTTGAAATATTATTAAAGACATTTTTGAATGAAACCAAGCTATTTATAATAAAGTGGCTGTTACGGGTTGAAAAGCCCTCTTTGAAATGGTCTTGCTTTTGCTTATGTTTTCATAATGTTTTCATAAAGGGGTACTATAGGAAACCTATCTAACAGCTAGCCATCTAGCTGTAGTAGTTATATTGCTTACAGCAGCAGTTCCCAACCCATGGTATGCGTACCCCCAGAGGGTATGCGTAAAAAAAAAAAAAAGGTAATGGCTGTGTAACCGCCCCGCATGGGCTTGGCAAGGGGAGCATGTCCATCAAGTGGCCCATGCACACATGGCCACCCATTGGACATGTGCCAAGAGGGGCCCGGTCGAGCGCTGCAGCGCTTTAATAGCACGACCAGACCCCTTCTAACTTGACCGGAGAGCTGGGAGGATGTGAGTGCAAGACGCACAGCTGTAACCAAGCTGCGCAGGAGGGGGCGGAGAGGACCGGACCGGGATCTCAACTCGCAACAGCCTCAGCCACAGAAGCCACCTAAAAGGTATGTGTATTTTGAGTGTTAGTATGTATGTAGTGTCTGTATCAGTGTGTCTGTGTTTGCAGGGCTGTCTTTAAGGCAGGGCAAATGAGGCAGCTGCCCTTCTGTTTTTTTCCCCATTGGCCTGACGAAGGAACCAGCAGCCTGCACACTAGGGAGGGTTATCCGGTGGGCATTTGTAAGCGGGGCCCTTTAACCGTGCGACCAGGCCACCTTGCTTTTTAGCAGCGCTAGGAGGAAGTGACTCACTTCCTCCCACTTAGGAGAGAAAACTGCGGGAGAAACTGAGGAGGCAGGGAGGAGGGTGGCTGGGCCTGGAGAGGTAGACCCCAAGCATTTGAATAGGTTTGTACATTTTTAGGAAACAAATTACAGGAGAATGATTAAGAAAAGAGGGAGAGAGAAGGGAATAGTGGGAAATGGAATGACTGAAGTACATGTGTGTAATACTAGCAATAATGTGTATATAAAAAGGAGAGGAAATTAGACATATTGAAGGGGGGGAAAAAAAGTACGATGGAAGGAGATATGGGAAGGGTGGGGGAGAGGACGTAAGGATTTCCCTGGTGTCCTCAAGTTTGGACACCAGGAAACCAGCCCCCAAGGTAGAAAACTGGAGGGTAGGTTTAAAAGTGTAAATATGTCTCAGTGGGTCAGTCTATGTATGTGTGTGTGTATTTGTATGTTGTCAGTATGTGTATCTGTTTGTGTCAGCGTGTATATCTGTGTACCTGTGTGTGTGTGTGTGTGTGTATATGTGCATACATCGGAACATTAAAATGCCAACACTACACACAAATAGACTACTGCATTCAAACACACAATGGTATAATATAAATTGGGGTTCTTGTTGGTGTCAGACAGACACCCCACATCCCCAGCACACACACGCTACATCCCCAAAAAGAACATATAATGGGTGTCACACTCTCTGAAATAACCCTCACACAAAATAGCCACTGGATATTTTGTGTTATTTCACAGAGTGCAACACCAATTATATGTACTTTTTGTCTACTAGTTTCGTGGTGAAATTAGGTGATTGTTTTCACAGGGGTTTGGACACACCTCCAGTTTAACGCCAATTTGTATTGTTTGCACTCGTTGCTGCTGTTTTACACTACATCTCCAGTACATAAACACACTACATCCCACATGACAAATTAACCTACTCCTTTTTGGTTAGATATGGTTAGTGATTGACATATATTGTATTTAGCTTATATTTTATTACTACTGCAGAAGCATACATGTTGTCACATTTAATTTAGTGTGCATTTACCTAAATGTTACTGGAATGTATTTATCTAGTCATGATATATTTAATTTTGGTTTTAATTATCATAATACAACATAATGAATGTGAGCGTGTTTTTGGTGGCAGAAAAGTGTCTTGGGTCGGCCCTGGTATCTGTGTGTGTCATTGTGTCTGTGTGTGTCATTGTGTCTGTATGCATATAAGTGTGTGTATCTACGTGTCTGTATCTGTGTCATTGTGTGTGTATCTGTATTTGTATGTGTCAGTATGTGTGTCTGTGTGTCTATGTGTGGGGCACTGTGTGTTTCTGTATCTGTGGCATTGTGTTCATCAGCGTGTCTGTTCAGCTGTATGTATATCAGTGTTTGTACATTTGTCCTTGCAACTATATGTATGTCACTATCTTCATGTATGCCAGTATGTATATCCGTGTGCCTGTGTTTGTGCCTGTGTGTTTGTATTTGTATGTATGTGCATGTGTGTCTGTGCAACTGTATGTGCATCTATGTATCTGAGTGTGTCTATGTATCTGCATTTCTCTATGAGTGTTTCATTGTATCTGTGTGTCTGTACCGGTGTCAGAATTTGTATCTGTACGTGTGTCAATCTGTACCTGCAATGTGGGGAGCCTAGAACAGAGAAAAGCATATGAATTTGAAATAACAGCAACTGTAATAATTGCAAATATTTCGCTATTGTAAGGGGTACAATTTATAGAAATGGGGTGCCAAGGGGTACTCAAGAGAAAAAAAAGGTTTGGAACCACTGGCTTACAGCCACCTTGTGCCATTCCCCAGTTTAAAGAAACACCCCAAGCACCATAACCACTATAGCATGCCATTATAGAATAGTTGGGACTTCTTACCAGCTGGCTGCTCCATGCCTCCAACACATCCTATGAAGTGCTGGAAACTATTTCAGCTAAGCCTGGCAGTGCTGGGCTTAGCTCATTGGGTGAGGGAAATCAGCTGACGCGCTCAGCGAATGAGCTAGCCCTGAGGAAAAAAAATTTACCTGCGCTCTTTCCACATCCCTTTGTATTTTTAAACAAATGGAAGTTTTTAGTTACCTCCAATGGCTATGAGAGGGTATGCCAACCTACCACATCAAGGCAGACCTCTTTCGTTGAGCTTCTGGCAAAAATATTTCTAATGAGACAGAATGGGGTATTTTTTTTATATATATACACATGCTTTTTAACCCTTAATAGGGAACACATGGGATGGGCAGCAGCATTGCAACCTAGATGTGCGATACAAAAGTGAATACAAATACAAAGAAACTAGTCCTGCGCTCAAACTCCCATTACTCCATTGCAGGGCTTAGCTCAGGGGAGCGAACATTCACTCATATTTAGAAAGCAGTGGAGGCGAGGCAAAAATTCAAACTGTATTGAAACAATGGGGTGCCAAGGCAATCATAGCACCATGCCCACTACAGTGAGCTGTAGTTATGGTGCTTGGACTGTTATTTTAATATAAAAATCTTTAAGAATGGTATAATATAAATTGGGGTTCTTGTTGGTGTCAAGCAACTGTCCACCCCTTGGTTGATTGATAACAAGGAATTAACACGCATTAGCCATTCTGTGCCAACCTGGGAAATACTGATTAGGCGAGAGCTGCTTAACCTTAGGTAGCTGCCCTGTTTTCTGTTTTGTTAAGCTTCTGCTTACAGACCCTATTGAAGCCACCAGGCACAAATTAGCTAAACTCAAGGGAACATGCTCAGAGCATGTCATGTAGTATGTTATATGTGCAATAGGTTTTTTTGTATGTTTTTATATAAATGTAACAAAAAGCACAGACTCTTTCAAATATTAGAAGATGCTGCAAAGAAAACAGTTAGGACCAAGCCATGTTTACACTTAATAATGAGTAAATATGACTGAAAAAAAAGCAATCAAAACATACCCATATATCCCCTTCAATTTTCCGAATCACTGTCATTTGACGATTACCATGGGTTATATCAGTATATACAGGAATATTGTGCATTCGGGAACGTCTGACCACATAAGGAAGATGAGGGGATGGGTCTGTAACAGAACAAAAAGTGGAGGTGCTTTCATTGCATATTTATACAAAATTACATCCTTTCCATTTAAAAACAGTCTATCCATGTGATATTAATCTGCGACCTCTGTGACACCAAATTATATTAGTTAACTAGGACTATCGATCACAATAAGAGAAAAAGACAAATCAAAGACAGGGTGTACCTTTTGGTGGGACCCAGCCAGATGGAGTGCTCTGTGTATGTTTTGGAGGATCAGGGACCCTTGAAGGAGGTATCAGGCGCTCCACAAAGTGATATTCCTCTTGAGATTCAATAATACCTGGATACTGTGGTGTAGCAGCTGTGGTAGAGCCATTATATACACGCTGTGTGGGGGGGAAAAAATACTTTCAGTTCTAAATAAATAATACAAGATGTTAGGGAATACTGCCCAACCTTGACATATTGTTGGTCAGTACAACACACAGTTGGATTCAAGTAAATGCATTCTCAGTGTTCAGGATGTGAGTGATGTCACCAAACCCTTTTGTCACCCAAGGTGTAACTTCACCTCTGGCAACTTAATTGGGGCGTCACTAGCCACCCTGTAACAAGAGTTCCGGGCCAGCTAATATCAATTCTATGCAAAGTTACATGCACAGTGAGCCATACATTGGTGAAGAGCAGTCATCTAAAGCGGTTTGTAGTGGTTATGTTGCTTCGAGTAACGCTTTAAGGATCACAGATGTCTGTCTTGAAGGGACATCCTCCCAATATGTTCTAGGTGTTATCCGAGACAGAAACCTTCCTGTTCTGTGTGGGCATAAGAGCCAGCAGGTGTAATGGAGTGGAGTTATAAAAGTACCAATTTCAGCACTTTTCTAAGATAAGCGACGCTCTAGCACAGGTTTTCTGTGCTATGATGCAGGAAGTGCCCTCTAGTGGCTGTCTACTGGACAGCCACTAGAGGTGGAGTTAACCCTGCAAGGTAATTATTGCAGTTTATAAAAAATAAAAAAACTGCAATAATTACAGTTGCAGGGTTAAGAGTAGTGGGAGTTGGCAACCAGACCACTCCAATGGGCAGAAGTGGTCTGGGTGCCTGGGGTGTCCCTTTAAGGGGTTAAAAAGAAATCACTGTTGTAAATTGAATCAACTAATAGCATTTATATAATTATTCATTAAAAAACAAAACAAAAGGTAAGAGTTGCCATACAAGAACAAGTCTAACAGACTAAAGTGAGAATTCAAGGTGAATTTCAAATATAAATGGTAACTTCAACCACTATGACCATTTCAGTGATCTGAAGTGGTCATGGTCATAGGAATCTTTGTGTGCAGAGTAATCTACACTTTTGTCCCAGGGGCTAGTTACACCTTCGGCACATGTGATTTTGGCAATCCCGGATTGCCAAATGTCAAGTCTGTGGAAAAGATATGTGTCATCAGCCCTCACTGCATGCTTGTGACAGTCATAGGGAGTGTATACACTTGTAGGATGTGCTTGCAAGGGGGAAGTGTTAATCTCTCCTCCCTTTCCTGCATTATTTCAGACCTCCCCACCTACCTTCATTTTGTTGATAGTTTGGGTGGGGGTTTCTGCTTTATTAAAAAAAAAAAAAATTCTCCCTCCCTCGCCGATTCAGAGGGCACACTCTCGGAGGCAGGTGAAATGATCCAATCAAATGCTTTTCTATGACAAACATTTGATTGGACCATGAAGCAAAAGGAAGTGATGTGGCAAGATGTTGGACAGGACATGGAAAATCATCGCCTGGTGTTGGATTGCAGGAGAGTTATATTTTTAATTTTACAGGATTTTCGACAGTAATTCGGTGGATATTAACTAGTGCCCAATAGAGTAAAAAATAAACCTGAAAAACAAAAGGATTGGAGTAAAACCTTATGACCAGAGTAGCGAAATGAAAACATGGCTGACAGAAAATGTTTCTGTTTAGAACTTAAATTTGATATTCACTTTAGTAAATAATGATGCTAGTATGTAAGGAATGGTATAGCTTATGTAGACAGATGGAAAAGAATTTAAATAATTAACATTATTGGTAGTTCAATAGAATTTCTGTATAGAAATTTAAACAGTGCTGTCCCTACTGTGAATTAGAGGTCAGCTGTCGCTAAATTAAATTGATATGAACTAAAACTCCAAGCACTGGCTAAAGTACATATTACTATTATATCTCATATGAAAAAAAAGTGAAACATTTGTACAGAAGACAAAACAAAACATACTGGCTATTAATTAGGTGGCTGTGCAAGGAGAATGACAAAAGTGGAACAGGAGTCTGAATTATAGGGCTGTCCAATCATATTCGGGACAAACTAGTAGCAGTATAGCACAGTATGACACAAAGGGCATTTACGGGACAACTATATAGAATGAACTAAACTACAGCAGAAGCCAAAATTGCAGATCACATAAAACCCATGCTGGATAGGTCTGCAAGATAATCCGAATTACTAAATATATTCTTAAATAGCCAAATTGTGAAAATAACAGAGTTGGAAACTATTTACAAATTAGTTATTTTTGCCATGTAGATTTTAAAATGTTATGAATTGAAATTTAGTAAGGAACTCTGACACAGTTATTTACTAAACTAAGAAGTGCCAAGAATTCAAAGTGAATGTCAAATTTTAGACAAAATAAGCCATGTTTGGCTATTTTAACCTAAACTTTTAAATTCACCAAGAAGGCTGCAAAATGTAAGGAAAATAAATTGATATTCAACAAATTTTAGCCTTAATTTTACAATTCTGACTTTAATGGCTAAAATTAGGGGTTTATTGAATAACCCTGTCAGAATTAATGACAATTCACACTAGCAGATTTGTAAAAATTTCTCCAGTTTAACCCCTCAAATTGAATGCGGCTAAAATGTCGAGTTTAGTAAATAACCCATGTTCATAATGCTTTTAAAATGGTTAATATATTCCCCACACAGTGTCTTCTGAAAAGGAACACAATGGCCATCTTTATTAAGTAGTCGGCTTTTGCCCAGAACAGTGTGTTGCCAACTACCTGGAGATCTGGGAGCCTGACAGCCATTCATGTCACATCAATATGTCACAAAACAGTTTGTATAGATGTATATATGAAACCAGGGGGCTGCACTCACCTAAACATGCATAATTGGGGTGCTGCTAGGGGCCACATTATACAATACACAAGATCTAGCGCAATTACCTATCCACTAAACAGCAACTTCAATGTTGACAGATTTTATTGGGGGGAGGGGGGAATCGATCTGCGGCTCTCTGCAGTACAAGGCTAAACACGGCCCTGGGACGAGACACCTGTGACGGGAGCGGTGCAAAACCAAGGAGTACAAGTGCCTCATCCCAGAGCCCTATTTAGCCTTGTACTGCAGAGAGCCCCAGATGGATATTTCCCCCCAAGTAAGTGGGTTAATCTCATAAGAGCAGACATTAGGCAGTTAGAGTAGGACCTGCCAAAGATGGGGTACATTGACATTGTGGCAGACTTATGCAATGTATGATCATATAATGTAACTAAACCCCCATTATTTTTGCCTGGATTAGTGGGGGGATTTTACAAATAAAAACTAATAAAATCTGTCAGCATTGAAGTTTCTGTTTGGTGGATAGGGGAGTGCCTGGGTCTTGGATTGTATAGCTGGCCTGGTGGCTCATGCTGCAGGTCTAGAACAGGAGTCTATATTGTTTGTTTGTTTAATTTCAATATACAGGCAGCCATGACAGGCCAATAACATTCACAGTGTATTACAAATATAAAAGGCGCTCACCTGCAGCTGCCATACCCCACTCAGAGCTCTCAGCCTTGCCCTTAACAACATGGGAGCCGCCATCTTGGTACCCAGCAGGATGTTTGTTTGGCCCCTTCTCCCCGGGTGTACCAACATGGCACACTCGTATAGCCTCTTCGCGAGGAGCATGATGGGCGGGTTAAAGGTGTACCAATATGGCGCAGATTACGCCGGCGGGAGTCACAATATGGCGGCGGTTAGTCAATGCGCATGCCTCCCCGATGGGCCAATCGGCGTTTCCCAGTACGTGCGCGCTCGCGGTGTCCCATAAGAAGCGTGCGCGCTCCCCGCACTCCCTCTTTCCTTTCCTCCATTTTGTGAGACGCGGAGTGCCCGGTGAGAGTTATGGGGGATGTTAAATGGTGTCAGAGTAGGGTTACCGAGGCTCCCAGTGTCTGTAGCTGGCAGCCTGGAGCTGGCTAGTGATAAGTGGCCAGTACATGCCCCATTGGGTAGCCCTGTGCCCAGGCTGGTGAATGGCAGCCGCTGGCTGTGTGGGGTTGTAGTCTCATGGCTCCCAGACCTGGCCAGGCAGTATTTATCACTGTGTGTCCTGTCTGGGAACAATAAAGCTTTTACAACACGAGGTTACAGACCATACTTACTGCAAATTAAACCTTAGAGTGGGATCTTACACTGTCACGTGTTGGGATGGGTAGAGTCACAGCCCGTGCTGTATTCCCAGCTAGCTACTAAAATAGACACTTTTTTTTTTTTTTTTTTAATGGTTAAATTGTGTAATAGGATTTCCCCCACAAATAAAGGATTGCATGCAGTTACTGTTTTGCTAGATGCCACCATCCCTCCTACTGTAAGACATACTAGTTTTTAGGACTTTTTATATTGCTGTTACAACTTTTGAACAGTTGTGAAAGTAGTGGGGGGGGGTGTATTTTTTTTCCTAGTCTGGATTATTTTGGTTCTAATGTATAGATAGTATACTGTAGATATTAAAAAAAATAAACTACTTCAATAAAGAAAATAGTTGGGACCAAAACCACCTGGGCTCGTATTTGTCATGGTGGAAGAATTTTCTGCATCTTTTTTAGTAGTTTAGTTTAATTACAACTGGGGGAAAACCTTCCTACTTAATGAAGTCATGGAGGATAACAATGCCACGTGACCCACTAGTACAAAATATCCCATAATTGTATTGGAGCCTTGCTGGTTATAGGAATTATAGAATAGATTTACTTTTTGATAATATCTTGGTTCCTAGATACTGTTGATAGGGTTTGAAGCAAACATGCAATAATGAAGCCTAGCTCATCGCTAATATACATTGTTTGCTACGGAAACAACTGTAGTAAGGGAGTGTCAAAGTAGATGACAAGCGGAGTGATAAAAATATGTACAAAGGTCTTCTGAAACCTAATTCTGAACATATCTTAAAGCTTTGACGTCTTTTCGGTACTGGGTTTATATACATTAAAAGGTAGGACAATGCGTGTATGATTTCTGGTTTTGATTACTGCTTTACATTTTCTTTATTTTGTCTTTCAGTAGCTGACAATGCAGCTGTTTGTTAGAGCTCAGAATTTGCACACCCTTGAGGTGTCTGGGCAGGAGACTGTATCACAAATCAAGGTAAGCTTGCCTATTAATAGCAAATGTACCTGAATACATTTTGCCTAGTGGCTCAAAATGATGAACCATGTCTATCGAATCGCTTTTAGAATCTGTATGCTTATTTTTCCTCAGTTACACGTCTCTTCCTTGGAGGGAATTCCTTCTGATGATCAGGTTATCCTTCTTGCTGGCACACCTTTGGACGATGAAGCAACTCTATTGCAGAGCGGTGTATGTGAACTGAGCACCCTTGACGTTGTTGCAAGACTTCTGGGAGGTCTGTATGATTTTGGTTTGGTTTCTCCAAACTGTTTAATGTTGTACTTTTATTTTAGTGTGAACACATTTTAATAAAATGGTTATAATGTAATTCCACCTAGAAAATGTGTGTAAGTAATCCCATGCATAATCAATAAAATGTGGATACTGTGATTGCTTGCTCAGCCAACCTAGTCATCCGTTGCAATCTCACAGTTCTTAGCTTGCCCCTTTTAAATTAATACGTAGCTCTCGAAGAGAGCAAATTCAGAATAACTTTTCAGCTATTTGAAAGTAGTTGGCTAGCACAAATTATAGATTGCATTTGTGCTATTTAAAGAGGCATCACATGTTTAGAACAAGTGAACTTAAATAAAAATGAATACCATACCTATGAATTACACATGGTAAATATTAAGTGTTTAAGAGATGACTAAACATGTTAACTTTCATTCCCTTCAGGTAAAGTACACGGCTCTCTGGCTCGTGCCGGAAAAGTACGAGGGCAGACCACCAAGGTATAGTTTTGTTCAACCACCTACTATCTTTCTTGCATGAATTAGGTGCGTGTACTGACATACTGAAACATTTGCGGAGGCAGTGGAGTCTGGCAGTAGGCAGGCTATTCCATAGGAAAGGAGCCGCCCGCAAGAGGTCCTGCAAGCGCGCGTTGGCTGTACGGGTGCGAGCAGCGGTCAGGAGGTGGTCACGGGCAGAGCGGAGGGAACGAGGAGGGGCATACCTATGGATCAGTGAAGAGATATGAGGGGCTAGAATTGTTCAGTGCTTTAAATGTATGGGTTAGCACTCTCAATTGACTCCTATAGGATACAGGGAGCCAATGTAGGGACTGACAGAGGGGTGAGGTGAGAGAACCGACTAGAGGAAAATCAGTCTAGCTGCAGCATTCATTAGACTGTAGTGGAAATTACTAGAGCATGGACAAGCTCCTTGGTAGCATCTTGCGTAAGAAATGGGCGGATGCAGGCTATGTTTTTAAGTTGGAACCTACAGGATTTGGCAACAAACTGGATGTGAGGCTCAAAGGTGAGGCCAGAGTCAAGTATGATGCCAAGACAGCGTGCTTGCAAGGATGGACTTATGTGGATATCACTGACTTGAAGTGAGCGAGAGAGGAGGATCAGTATTAAGAGGAGGAAAGACAAGGAGTTCAGTTTTAGAGAGATTGAGTTTCAGAAAGTGAGGACATCCAGTCAGAGATGAAGAAAGGCAAGCAGTGACACGTTGCAGGATGGCAGGGGAGAGGTATATCTGAGTGTCATCAGCGTACAGGTGGTAGTGGAATCCAAAAGAGGCAATAAGTTTGCCAAGAGAGGCAGTATAAAGAGAAAATAGAAGGGGACCAAGAACAGATCCTTGGGGGACTCCAACCGAGACAGGACGAGGGGAGGAGGTATCCTTGGAAAAGGAGACACTGAAGGAACGTTGGGAGAGATAGGAGGAAATGTTCTGTTCACTTTAAAAATGTACCACAAGGGCTGGGAACAATAACACTCTGCCTCTGTGGCTACTAATGAGGCACTAATAATGTTTAATGAGATGTGCATGTTTACTTCATTATAATGGAATAAGATGTAAATGCTGCAGAGAAGATGTGATCCCACCATAGATACAAACCCAGTAACTTAAACTAGTTCACTGGTATTCTAACTATTCCTATTCCGATACAGGTTGCCAAACAAGAGAAGAAGAAAAAGAAGACCGGTCGTGCAAAGAGGCGCATGCAGTATAACAGGCGCTTCGTGAATGTGGTACCCACCTTCGGCAAAAAGAAGGGACCAAATGCCAACTCCTAAAAATGCAGAGCAAGAACTAATAAACCATTGCTAAACTTGAAAAATTGTCTTAAATGTTTTGGTGTTTTTTTTTTTTGTTCCTAGTAGTAAAGTATTCTGATAAGATGCTTTATTAGTGTTTAAACCTTGCAAACAGTCCAGATGCAGAAAGTATTAGAGAATATTTTGATTTTGGACACTTACACATAGAAGCCAGATGCGGCTTTTTGATTCTTTAGTGCAGAAATCTCAAACTTTGGCCCCCAGATGTTGCTGAACTACAACTCCTTTCTGACCAACTAATGTATTAAAAAAATTTCTGGAACATGTAGGCTATCCATATGGGGGAGAAGTGTATGTGCTTGTGATCACTGCTTTAGTGCTTTAATCATCAGAGCCTCTGTCAGCAGTAACAAGCACATCTGCTTATGGCTATGACTTACCTTTGTGAGCACTACTGTCCGATCATGGCTTGCGTTGTGCTCATCATGTTTTATAGAAACAGCACGGGAGCATGCTTAATCGGTAACAGATTAGGTATGGATGAGGTTCCCACAAATGTGAGAAGCCCATTTGTAAAATGCATGGGTAGTAGTAGTAACTGATAAAGGAAGGTGATTTAACCGGTCAAGTTGCTTGGGTTTTCAAAGTGAAATGTGGACTAGTTGCATGTTTAAGGAGCTAGCACAAGTAGATCCCACATTTTATGCTGGTACAGCACCTAAGAAACAATGTTCTTTGTTTGCGGTGGATAGTAACTAAGGACTAACTTTTAACTTTGGGTTTGAAAATTAAAGCTCTGTTTTAAGCATCCCAAATCACTGGGTGGGGGGATAATCGGTGCGTGCATAAGTTTTTCTGAACCTCTTATGGTAGCTTGGAAGATCACTCTGAGCACCATAACTACTACTGTGCGCGGTTGTGGCCATAGTGCTAAGAATCTTAGCACCTTCTTATAGTAAAGAGTTAAACTGGTTTTCACCTAGGTGCATGCATGCCTTTTAGTCTTCTGTGATATTGCTAAAAGAAAATATCCTATGTTAGCTTTAGCAATATCACTTGTCTGGGATTGAACATCATTCATTGGTTGAGAGCATCTGTTACAAGTGCAATAAGCAAAATTATTTTACTTCACATAACACTGTAAGTTTGTTTCAAGTGCTAGTATTTTATACCTTTTTGCCTCGATGCTGCTTCTTGGCATTACTAAGGTTTCAGACTATCTGCATGATCTTGTAAGATGCAGCTCTGGCAATAAAGACATCCATTTTGCTTAATTAAAATTTACAAGTGTATAGAAAAACATAGGTTATAGGAGGTGCATTAACCCATTAAGGACCAAACGTCTGGAATAAAAGGGAATCCTGACGTGTCCTTAAGGGGTTAATGTCATTTGGAACTCTGGCTCATGTAAAGTGTCATTTATTAACTTATAAAGAAGTATTGAAACCTGTAAGCTAAAACTATAGTGAAATCTGATCATTTCCATTCACTTATAACTCACTATAAGCAAATAGGGTCCCACTGCGTGTATGCCTGTAAACCAGGCTTTCATATAGTGAAATCTAAGGTATAGTGAGGTAAGCTGGGTTTTTGCTTTTTGGAGATTCCAGTACTAACTAAAGTTTCCCCAAAACTCTGCTACAGAGAGTAGGTAGTTACTAAATCACATATGGAGTATAAGGGGGTATTTCTCTAGGAAAGCTTCTAGCAGATTATCGTAACCTTAAATTAAGTGGATTGCATAATGCGGCAATGTTAAGTTTGGTCTGTTTCCTGTGCCAGGTTAAAGTCCAAATTTTTGCACAGTGTTTTTCACTATAAAAGCTTAGGTATTGAGAAGGAATGATGGTAGTTTGGGATGTTGCTCAAGTGAGTGTTTTTTTTTTTTTATTTATATATATATATATATATATTATATATTCAAGTTGCTATAGAGAGATGCAAATGATTGACATTGCAGTTGTGATTTGCTCTTTCAATTTTTTTGTATTTCTCTTTGTAAATTAAAAAAAAGTGTTTTCCGGCAAATTAGTAAGTATGAGAAAGGGACACACAGTTCTTCAGTAAAAATAAGGCAGTTTTGTTAGCCACGTAGGGCTAAAATAAGTGCATAAAAAGGAATGTGAACACAGGTCCAACAAGATATCAAAGCAGTTTAAACAAAACCTGAAATAACACACGTTAGATCAGTTAGACCATGGGTACCCAAAAGGTAGATCACCAGATGTTGAATTACAACTCCCATGATGCTTTGCATGCCTTTATAATGACAAACCTCATGGAAGATGTAGATTTAAAACATCTGGGGATCTACCTCTTTGGGTACCACTAAGACCATATAGAAATATATAACGTACTGGGGCCTTAGGAATGGAAGTTAAATATCAATGGTCATTCTCATTACTTTCCTTTTTTTTTTTTTTTTTTAATGCATTACCTATATGTGACAAACTCCCCTTTTCTTTTTTTTATTTGTATTTTATTAGTTTTAAGGCTCAAAATACATCAGATCACATTAATTGAAGAAATAGTTTATGTGAACATAGATTATAATGCATTATTGTTTTGGCCTATCGATCTCTGGTGGTCCCGTGACGTTAGGTATCTATGTGTGACCTGTATAGGGCCTTGGAGGAGCGTCAGCCTACTCAAAGTTGAGGTGTGTTGGTTGTTGACATTGTATACTGTCTAGGTATCATGGAAGTATATATATTGAGCAGCTCTTGGTTTGGTAATTGTAAGTTATTTTTTTCTTGTGTCCCCGTGTCTATTGTAATCCAAAGTCCGTCTGTCGTCTGCATGTATCTGTACTCTAGTCGCTATCACAGCATTGTCCTGTCTCCTGTTGTCTCAGTCCCTTAGCATTTTTCGTGGGGTTTCACCTGGCACTAAGCGGGGCGCGCTTCGGATATTTATTGTGTGAAGTCGTCTGGCTTCCCTCATGCACACCTGTCTGTCGTAGTAACACTAAGTTCCCCAAACATAGGCATTAGGCCCTGGAACCCAACCCTGTGTGTGGCTATGGGCTGGTAGGAGCCATCCAGGACTGTAACATCTGGTTAACACAACAATATAAAGTAAAAAAGGAAAGAATAACTTGACGTGCAATATACATTTAGTACGTGCATATGATATGGTGCGTCTATGATGGGGTATGTGTGGGACCTTGCAGGGTGAGGTCCTGGGGGTGGAGGTGGGGGAGTGGGCTTAGGCTTGTTGAGTTGTGTGTGTCAGCTACAGTTCAGGCTCTATTTAGGCTTAGTTGGTGCTAGCTCGCTTTTGTGTGCCTGTTTTGCCCTTGTCTCTCCGCCTCTGTGTCTATTTGTGTCCCCTGTGGGTAGGTTCAGCTTTTGGAGGAACGCCACTTGATCGTCCGCAGCGGTTAGGGTGTACATCTGGTCTCCTCTTTGGACTTGCAGTGAGCTGTCTGCTCCCCAGTGGTAACGTACTGCCGCCTCCCTGAGCTTTTTGGCAGTCAGTGTGAGCTGCCTCCGCACTACCAGCACTGCAAAGGGGATGTCTCCATAGATAGCCACTGTGTGACACTCAAATCAGATGTCGGGTAAGCCACATCTCTAGTCACGGCTATGATGTTCCTAGGAGCATCGTCTGGGGCAGCTACAGCCTTCCTGATCCGGAATGCAGAGTGTATAGTTCCCGGGGTCTGCGCTGCCTTTGATGCCCATTGTGGTAAGTAGTCTCTGTATATGGGGCAACAGTTCTTCCCCGCCGACACGTTCCGGGATGCCTCGGAGGCGGATGTTTCTCCTGTGTCTTGCCTCCAGGGTTGTGATGGTCCGGTTCAGCTGTTGGACAACTTCTGTCATTTGGGCTTGAGTGGACTGCTGGGTGCATTCTCTGTCACCCTCCTTGACTTCCAGTGCTGTAACCCGATGTTGGAGGGCCCCCATCTCCTTGCGGGTTTCTCGGAGGTCGGCTTTCCAGACCTCCCTCATTTCTGTCAGTAAGTCTCTGATGTCACTTTTTTGTCACAGGGGACAAGTCCTCGTCTCACTCAGAGTCTCTATATTGGGCCTCCGCTGCTGGTGAGGTAAGGCTTTCCCTGTCATCCTCGGAGCTCACAGAGGCCTCCTCCTCACTATGCGCCTCCGGCCATTTTGGTTTGGGCTAGCGGTGCAGGCCTTTCAAACACAAGCCGAATGTCGGCTAATTTAGGCGTCTCTGGCGGGTGGAATTTTTTATTCTTTTGCCCCATTTGGTCTCTTAGGGGGGATAGTGTGGTTTTTGTCTCCGATATGGAGCCGAGTCACTCTTTTGTGCCATTTTTGTCTCGGTTTGGAACGGAGCTCCACATGCACACGTCTAGTCCGGTCGGCCACGCCCCCCAAACTCCCCTTTTCAAGTGAGTTTGCCACGAGTTCTTGGAGGGGACTACTTGCCAACCTTTTACCCTGTGACTATGGCCCCTGCAATAAAACTGGCTTATATACTTCAAACAGAGACCACTCTGGAGCTTAACACCTCTTAACAACTTGGAACGTTTCTCACCCAGATCAGGGGATGTATTTATGGGGATATGTTGTATTTTGGGGTACTTATTGGACTTTATAAAAATTTGTTTTTTATGTCTAGGGATAATTGTGATTGTATTATCTACCTTAATTGTGTACTGTATGTGGGAGTGTCGTTCATTGTTACATTGTTTTGATTGGCTTGTATACTTTGTGTCCTGTGCCCAACAAGGTACACCTAGGCGTCAACCTTGTTGGGAAACTTGTATAAAAGGCAGTGTGCCTACATTAAACTGCTATTCCAGCTCACACTCCAAAACTGTGTGTTGTCCTGTTATTGGAGGGAAAGACGATTTACTCCTGTGTCTGCTGTTCCAGCTTGCAGGGGATTAAACGGGGAAAGTCTTTGTAAGGACTAGAGCTAATTCCCAATTTGGCTCCAGGAAGGAGCGGTTCCAGGACCCCAGTCAAGCCACGGCGACTGTGGGCAGAAGTGCTGCAGTTTGTCCCCTGTTCCTGCAACATTCTCTGGACTAGGAGAGGTCTACCCACTGGAAGCTAAGTCCTGGTCTTGGGTTCAGGATTGGTGGAGGACGGTGAGACCCCAACCAAGCTGCGGCGGTTCGTGGGGTCTATGGTGGTTGCGGTGTTCCAGTGCAGTGATTATGGTACTAGGAAGCAGCGATAAACTGAGGTACCCTGTTGGGGTGCCAGGCGGTCTGTTACACTATATATAGACCTTTTTTTTAAAAATGTCATTTTAAAAACATGGCCAATCTTGTTAAGTCCCTACAGAGTTATGAATGTGTGCATTATAATGAATTAAAGTAGCTTAACTTTTTTTTTACCAAAATAGATAATTTGGAAAATGTCTGTCAACTGTTTTTTTTATCAGTTATTTGTCTAAAATCTCCAGAAGTTTGAAAACTACAGTTTCAATGATGCTTTGTCATTTAAAAGGCATGCAAAGCATCATGGGAATTGTAGTTCTACAACATCTGCAGATCTACCATTTGGACGCCACTGGTCTAAAATATTGCACTAAACCAAACTGTTAATCCAACCACGTTTTTTTGTCTTTACGTAAGACCCTACTGGGCATTATTCTTTAGGTTGCCCTTTGAAAGGTGTTTTAAAACACTGTAAAATAAGTGTTATTTATCTTCAATCCAGCACTGGGGGAAGCTCCCGGCGCTGCTTGGCACATCTTTTTTGACGTCACAAGAGCCGCGTGGAGGGGTAATAAATGACTTCTAATAGAGAAGCCTTTGCGTGCACCATGCACCAACTAGTTTAAGCGCATGTGCACGCTCTCTGCCCGTGTGGGGGGGAGGGGGGAGATAGCGTATTGGAATAGGAAGGAGTGGTGCCAGACATGTTTCCCCTTGCAGACTCAGGCAAAGGAGACGCAGTGAGGTCAGTGCGTGCTAACAGACGTAAAACATGTACAGAATTTACATTCGGCAACCTGGAGGTGTAGTTATGGTGCATGGAGTGACCCTTTCACTATGAATTCCACACAATTCACACTTTGATGAGTTGGGCTGCTACACTCCTCCCTTACAATACGCATGCCACTCCCCCAGGGTAATGCCATGGTTGGCCCATCACTCAGAACGTCCTAAATCTTATTGGTTAAGAGGAAGCGCCGAGATGCGTCCCGAGCGTTGATTGGTTGCCGTGTGTCACGTGCCCTTACTGATTAGCTCGCGAGCTGCCATAACGCCGATTCAAGATGGCGGCCCCCAGTCCTGATTTACTGTTACCAGCCCGTAGCAGCTCGCCGGAGCCGGCTCTGTCCCCCGCTGCCCCGGAGGATGGCGGCCATGGCAGGGTGTGCTCGCTGTGCCTCTCCCGGCCTGGGATATACACGTGCCCGCGGTGTAACGGCCCTTACTGCAGCCTGCCCTGTTACCGGGGGCCCAGACACACGGCCTGCTCCGAGGACTTCTACCGGGAGGCCGTGCTCAGCGTGCTGCGGGAGGAGGGGCCCAGCGGGAGACGGGAAATGGAGGACATCCTGCTCAGAATGAAACGGGAGGAGGAAGCAGGACGCCATTACCGGGGTCTGGGGGAGGCTGGCATAGGAGGCACTCACAGTGAGGAGGAGGCTGGCATGGGGAACACTCACACTCACAGTGAGAGAGAGGCTGGCATGAGGAACACTCACAGTGAGAAGGAGGCTGGCATGGGGAACACTCACAGTGAGGAGGAGGCTGGCATGAGGAACACTCACAGTGAGGGAGAGGCTGGCATGGGGAACACTCACAGTGAGGAGGAGGCTGGCATGAGGAACACTCACAGTGGGGGAGAGGCTGGCATAGGAGGCACTCACACTCACAGTGGGGGAGAGGCTGGCATAGGAGGCACTCACATTTCCAGTGGGGTGGAGACAGCCATGTGGAATAGTCTTTCTGACAGGGAGAAAGAGGACTTCAAAAGACTATTAAAGAGTGGAGACATTGGAGCCTTGGTCCCTGAATGGATACCATGGTGGGTGGCCGAGAAAGGGACCTCAGAAATTAAAAACACAAAGATTGTGGAGCTTCCAAATTCAGTGAGTTCTGGTGATAGAAAAGATAGAGATCATGAAGCTGACTCAAGGAACCACTTGCAAGAAGAAAATGACCCCAAGTCAGTAACCTCAGATAGCTTAATTAATTCAAGTACTGAAGAAAAAAAGGAGATTGTATCAAAAGGAGAAATGTCTACATTTGCAACAAGTCACCTAGTGAACAGTGTAGATCACCAAGAGGGTGAGGAACAAAGGGGGATTCTTCCTGATACTATTAATATCCACCAGTACAAAAGCTGTTTAAAAAACAACCTGCAGGATGTTAAGGAAGAGTGTACTGCAAATGTTAAGCAGCTTGTACTAAGAAAGCCTAGAGTAAGAATAAAGGAGGATTCACCTGAAGAAGTTGCCAACCAGCCTAAATGCTCTGGTATTCCACTCCCATTTATATCTATCCCACCCTTGTCTTCACTCAGCCGAAACCCTTCCCAGTTGGTCCAGTTCAGTGTTGTGAATGCTCTTTATGGTTATGCCTTTTCTCTCCAGCGGCATAATGGTGATTTGAGTGATGAAGACATACTCTTGGATTTCACTGAGACATTGCTAGGTGTTTCTGCTACACTCAGCTCCAATGTGGTCTACAATTCCACAGCCCATGCTCTGCAGAGTGCTGTGCGTGTTGCATCAGACCCATTATTAAGTGGAGACCAGGTAGGAGCCTGCTCTGCTATGGAAGCTACATCAAAAATCCTTCAAGGAGATGGCAGCAAGACCTTTCCACTAGCTGCCTTGGCCCATATGTCGCGTGTTCTGGGAAAGGCTCGAAAACTAGTGTCCCAGGACAAGCATTTGCGACATGTAATTTTCAATGCCAAGAAAAAGTGTTTGTTCCTGGCTGCATGGGCGAATGAAAATGAGGACTGTCTTCCAATGCTATCGGAAGCTGTCAAAATAGAGCATCAACAATACCGTCAGTATGTCAATGGATTGACTGAGATATCAAGGGGAATTGAAAAAGTGTGGGGTGGAAAAAGACCTCCTGAGAAAAAGTCACTGATAGAAGAGGTTGGCTCAGAGACAACATGACATTAACAAACACACCTATTATTTTTTTTTTTTTTTTTTAATTGAACATTTTTTCTTTGAGTTATTTATTTTACTGTAATAAAGATATGTTCAGACTGCAATTTACTGCACAATATTCTTGGTGATTAAGAGAACAGTTAAAAGTTCTTCACTCTTGTATTTTATTCCATAAACTCTGAATTTATAGAATTGGTATTCAGTCCTTTCAGCTACATAGTTTATGGGCTTCAACTTAGAGCAGTTAAAGGACCACTATAGGCACCCAGACCACTTCAGCTCAATGAAGTGGTCTGGGTGCCAGGTCCCGCTAGTTTTAAACTTGCAGTTGAAAACATAATTTCAGAGAGACTATGTTTACACTGCAGGGTTAATCCAGCCTCTAGTGGCTGTTTCCCTGGCAGCTATAAGAGGCCGCTCTCACTATTTACACTGAGTAAATCGCACTTCTCTGATGCTGGACGTCCAGCATTAAGTAAGATCCCCATATGAAAGGACTGAATAATGCTTTCCTATAGGCAGGTTTAAATGTGCAGGTGCCTCTAGCCGCCTATTAGGCTCCACGCGGGAGCTGATGTAGGGGTTTTACCCCCTTCAGCCTCGAGGAAGGGGGCTCTTAAGAGCCTATAGTTCCAAGAAAAGGAGTTTGTTTTCCTAGCACTATAAATCTGCTCAATAGAATTTTGAGCAAGTAGACAACTTGGTCCATGACATGTCAGCTATAAAACCCTCATGAAAAGCATAAGGCTTTATATACTCTAGGGATCCTGGTCAAATCATTCTAATGCAGGCAACCTTTGTGGGTCTGCACCATACTTAATGGTATGAACTTGATTGTACCAGGACACTGCCACTAAAGATGATTTTCCAAATACACAATGACTCCTCCAACTGTCATTCATATATTCAACTTTTAAAGTCAGACATTTGTATGAGGGGATTATGCATGTCAGCACAAAGGGCATAAATGAAGCGGTCAAAACTGATGCCCCTGATTGTAAGCTTTGTGAACTGTAGATATTCCATTGGTGACATACACTGTAGACTACTAGGTTTTATTAGTGGTAGCGACTTGGTTATTTAGAGTCCATTAATTTGTCCAAATATGTCACATTGTGTGTACATTTTAAGGAAAGGGTGATGGCCAGGAGTTGAATGTATGCATTGTTTTGTGATTGTAGGGCGACAGAGATTATGTATGTTTCTATGCACAGTCTATCTGTGGAGCTATAAACAAGTTGCCAGTGTGGTGTTTTTACATCACTTGCCTTAATATAGCCTGCCTTACTCTACAATTACATTGCATACTGCGAGCACAGGGCACCTCTAAAAGAGAATAGACATGGCCCCTCCCATCATCCTTTGCCATGCCACAATCTGGGTATGTAGAATGGGATGATACAGGGCAGGATAGCTATAAAGACAAAGGTGTGGAGACTCAAGGGTTAAGGGAAATAGAGTAAGATAGAAGAAAGGGAGAGAGACATACCTTGTATACCTATGGGAACATCATAAAATAACCAATCATAGAGAAGTGCATGTTGTATCTTAAAAACAAATACCCACATGCATATTAATAAAAACATTTTATTATATTCCCTCAAATTGTTCAAGCCATTGTTTTATACAAAGTGTAAACAAATTAATGTTTCTGTTTAGGCAGAACATTATACGCTTGCATGAATGAAAAATCACAGCTCTAATGTCACTGAAATAGAGTTGAAAATGAATGTTAATAAAATGCCTTTTCATGATTTGATTCCATCACAAAGAAAAGTAAATGCTACTCTTATATATAATCATTTTATGCTATACTTTCTCCATCATATTCTTTACATCTTAGTCTTGTTCAATGGTTGGTATTTTGAAGATTATGAAGTTAAAGGTAAATGGAAAAGTACAGCTCTGCTTAAAACAATCATAAATCTGTCTGACTTAATAAATTATTAGTACAGCACTGCAAAATCTGTTCGTTCTTAACATATTATAACTTGACCACACTTGATCACGTGACATGCCAAAACCTCCACTGAGTATCATGTGTTACATACAGTTATCCATAACTTAACTATTGTTTTAGTGTTATACAAAGGTTGAAATCTCCTTTGACCTTGTAAACACAACAAAGACCTCGTAAACACAACAATGGATAATAATGTGAAATTGATTTTTTTTTTTTTATGTGAAAAAGTGGAGTTTTGGCAATATTGAGACCCAGGGTGTTAGTTTGGACTGTACCCAAAGAACTCTAGATTCCATTTACCCTCTCCAAGATAGAGTGCACACATCCCTGTATTCTTGAATTTGATATACATTACCATAATGAGTGATTACCCTCACTGTCTGTACTTCATCTTATAAACTTACTGACATCCCCCACTGCTGTTTGTCCATTTAATTAAAAGAACATAGGAGGCACTCAGAAGAAAACTGGTTGAAAGCAAAAAAAAAAATGCAATAGGAGCCTTAAGGTTACTAGATGCACCGTACTGTGTATTTAAATAAATCCCTTCTTGCCTTGTTTGGAGGCCGATTTAAATCAGTAGTAAATGTTTACATGTAGTATCAGTTCACATAACCAGTTTAAGTCATTGTAGACAAACTTGCTACGTATATTGTCTGCAGTGGAAGGATGCAGCTGAGTGATCAGTAGATGTATGGGAACATCCTGTAGGGCACTCTGCGGCAGTATTCCTGCCAGGCCAAGCCATACTTCTTCATACACTGATGTTCATCTCTTGCCTCGCGGTGAATGAGGAGGACCGTGAAATAGGTAACATAGAAGTATGGAAGAATGTGAGAGAGCCCTAAAAAAAGAAAGAGGAAGGTTGTCAGTTTAATGTTACATAAATGTAACAACAGACATGTTAAATATTTAAAGGAATATTATTTTCCTAAATATACATAATTAAACTAGCTGAATAACTCACAAAGGACCATATACGGGCGTGTTTGTATTTTATGCATATTACTTATTTGTATAAATTGCTTTATATTTTTAGAGCAATCTCATTATTTTTCACTCTAAATAAGATATGGTTTATGTTCAGTACAAAGTAAACATGGTATCTGTGAATGCCATTATAGATTCTGTGTAACTCACCACAGGGGAGAGACCAGGCTAGAGCCATAATTAGGTCTCCTAGATAATTCGGGTGACGAACAATACCCCACCAGCCAGACACAAGCAGCCTTTTCCCTGTTGCTGTAGGAATAGTCTTGAGACCTACAAATACAAAATCCAAGGCATATTATAAGCAGGATTGTTGATCAATAAGATTTCACACGAAGACTTCTACCATTAAGCCATTTAGTTGGACATACTCAATCCCGGTTATTCTTTCCTTCCAACCTCTGTATATAACCAAATCTCAACGCGTCTTCCTACCGCATGTGGTATACCGATGAAAACAAACTTAAGAACTTGGCTTTGCAAAGCTTATCATACTGGCTCCACACATTGTATTCCAGAATCCATTTTAAATGTTGTGGCAGTGTGAGGGAACACTGCTATATTAGCCCCAGAATGGCACTTTCAGTGTTCCCTGACTAGAGGGGGTTAAAATTCAGGTGGCTATAGTCGATTAATTAGGGAGCTACATAAACCCTATGCAGAGGGAAATCAGTCTCTCCTGTGAAGAGTTGGGGCGGAGACAGACCGAGTCAAAGAGACTGCCGAAATCGTGTGGAAAGTAAAGGTATTTTGCAAACCTTTATTTGTATTTGTTAAACTACTGGGGTCAGCTTAGCTGCCCAGTAGCATAGAAAGGGTACTCTATGTTAGTCTCAACGTGGGGAGTAGGAGTTGGTTTGGTTTAATGCTTTTCTGTGGCTAAATCTGCACATACTGGGTCTGCCTTCTACAGTGATGGAACTTGTGTAGGGCTCAGTATGACATCTAATACATAATTAAAGGGTTTCGCCAATCCTTTTTGGTAGGATATAGAATAATGTCCTATTAGCATTATTATATCTGTTTCCCCCCCAAAGAGTGTTTTAAAAGAAGTTTAACTTGTCTCAATCAGTACTGGACAAATCTCCCCAATGCTGCTTGTTGCGCCCCCCCCATGTGATGTCACGGGAGACACACTGAGGTCCATTCTAACAGATTGGGTTGGGAGACAGGAGGGCTTCCATTAGTGTGGATGGGAGGGTGGGAGAAAGGGAAAAGCTTGTGTGTATGCTGAAAACATACATAAATTATGTACAGAATTGACATTAGGCAGGCCGGAACATAGTTCTGGGTTGCCTAACTCACATGTGATGGGGATGCAACTAGCCACCAGCACAAAATTATACATATCTCAGTATGTGCAGTGCTTCAAGCGGACACACTGGGCATACCGGCTTCTACCACCATGACCACTTCAAAAAGAAGCACTTTAAGTTGTCAGTGCCAGCCCCTTACCTGCAACTTGTGGGTCTGCAGGGTTTCTTCTGAAGGCATTTTTCTGTGAGTTTGATCCACGGAAAATAATATATCCCACGGCTAAAAAAACAACAACAAATCATTTCCTTTTGACATAGCAAATACAATGTATTATGTTTTTACTGATATATACCTAACATACAAAGTACAAGAATATTGCAATCAAAAGCAAGTAAGTAAAAAACATGTTCAAAATAAATAAACCAATCAAAAATTAATAAAAACTGCAGAATTTATTTATTATTTTTGTTCTGTATTTACAGATGAAAATGAAGGAAAGGGACCTCAGTTAAGAAAAAGGATAAATAAGTCATTTATTACACGTGAGTTTACAGAGGAAGAGGCTCTATTTCAACTATCAAAAGTAAAGACAAATAAGTCAATGGGACCTGATGGAATACACCCAAACCTATTAAAAGAGCTTAGTGGTGTACTAGCAAAACCATTAACAGATTTAACCAATCATTGTAAACAGGTATAGTCCCAGAAGATTGGAAGTTAGCGAATGTTGTGCCCATTTACAAGAAAGGTAATAGGGAAGAGTCGGGCAACTATAGGCCAGTAAGCCTTACTTCAGTAGTGGGGAAAGTGATGGAAACCATGTTAAAGGATAGGATTGTTGAACATCTAAAACACATGGATTTCAAGATCAGAGACAACATGGGTTTACTTCAGGGAGATCATGCCAAACTAATCTTATTGATTTTTTTGATTGGGTAACTAAAATTATAGATCAGGGTGGTGCAGTAGACATTGCTTACCTAGATTTCAGTAAGGCTTTTGACACTGTTGCACATAGAAGGCTTATCAATAAACTGCAATCTTTAAGTTTGGATTCCAATATTTTTGAATGGGTAAGGCAGTGGCTGAGTGACAGGCAACAGAGGGTTGTAGTTAATGGAATATATTCAAAGCTTGGACTTGTCACCAGTGGGGTACTTCAGGGATCTGTACTTGGACCCATTCTCTTTAATATTTTTATTAGTGATATTGCAGAAGGTCTTGATGGTAAGGTATGTCTTTTTGCTGATGATACTAAGATATGTAACATGTTGATGTTCCAGGAGGGATAAGCCAAATGATTTAGGTAAACTAGAAAAATGGTCAGAATTGTGGCAACTGACATTTAATGTGGATAAGTGCAAGATAATGCATCTTGGACGTAAAAACCCAAGGGCAGAGTACAGAATATTTGATAGAGTCCTAACCTCAACATCTGAGGAAAGGGATTTAGGGGTGATTATTTCTGATGACTTAAAGGTAGGCAGACAATGTAATAGAGCAGCAGGAAATGCTAGCAGAATGCTTGGTTGTATAGGGAGAGGTATTAGCAGTAGAAAGAGGGAAGTGCTCATGCCATTGTACAGAACACTGGTGAGACCTCACTTGGAGTATTGTACACAGTACTGGAGACCGTATCTTCAGAAGGATATTGATACCTTAGAGAGGGTTCAGAGAAGGGCTACTAAACTGGTTCATGGATTGCGGGATAAAACTTACCAGGAAAGGTTAAAGGATCTTAACATGTATAGCTTGGAGGAAAGACGAGACAGGGGGGATATGATAGAAACATTTAAATATATAAAGGGAATCAACACAGTAAAGGAGGAGACTATATTTAAAAGAAGTAAAACTACCACAACAAGAGGACAGTCTTAAATTAGAGGGACAAAGGTTTAAAAATAATATCAGGAAGTATTACTTTACTGAGTGGGTAGTGGATGCATGGAATAGCCTTCCAGCTGAAGTGGTATAGGTTAACACAGTAAAGGAGTTTAAGCATGCATGGGATAGGCATAAGGCTATCCTAACTATAAGATAAGGCTAGGGACTAATGAAAGTATTTAGAAAATTGGGCAGACTAGATGGGCCGAATGGTTCTTATCTGCCGTCACATTCTATGTTTCTATGTTAGAACAATTTACTTTTATTTTTTCAGGGATTCATTTTAAAAGTAAGAAACATGAATGTATTATTAATATTTATTTTAACGGTTAAAGAACCAATGAAGTTGTCTGGGTGCAGTGGTCCTGTCATTTTAACCACTTTAGTGTATAACACTGCCGTTTTGTAGAAACTGCAATGGTTACGTTGCAGGGTTAAACACAACTCTAGTAGCAGTCTTCTAGTTTAGCTGAATTCATTTATTAGTTAAGATCAAACCACACTTTGTAGGAAATATTTCAGAATGTAGACTTACTGTTTATCAGCACGATGCATAGAGCAGCAAAAGTCCCCAATTCCTGCGGGTGACTGACGAGGAAATATGCTTGCAGAGAATAGGTGAATGGAACCCAACACAAGTCTCCGAAAGCCAACATAAAACCAAACCCATCATGGACAATGTCCATTGTCGTGAGGATGCACTCCTGAAGAAGGAGAAAGGGAAAATAAAAGATACAAAAGTATATACTTTATAAAAGTTATAAATATTAGAAGAAATACTAAACCAAAAACGCTCAGATGACCTTCAGGGTAACTCATGAAACAACAAACTGCCAGGAATGAAATGTGAATTCATACAGGTTTACTTACTAAAGGAAGAATTCAAAGTGAATTTCAAACTTAAGGTCAGAGTTGCCAAATTGAAAGCACAACTTTTTTCATTTTGGATATTTTGACCTTAAAGGACCACTATAGTGCCAGGAAAACTTGTTTGCACTATAGGGTCTTTAGGTGTCCCCCAACCTCATGGACCCCCTCCCGCTGGGCTGAAGGGGTTAAACACTTACCTTTCTCCAGAGCCGGGCTCCCTCGGCGCTGAGGAACTCTCCTCCCTCTGCCGACGTCAGTGCAGACTGTGCATGCGCAGCAAGAGCCGCACACGTATTCAAATAGTCCATAGGAAAACATTTCTCAATGCTTTCCTATGGACGTCCAGCTTCTTCTCACAGTGATTTTCAGAGACAGCCACTAGAGGCTGGATTAACCCTAGTGTAAACACAGCTATGTTTACATCTGAAGGGTGAAAACCTGAGGGACCTGGCACCCAGACCACTTCATTGAGCTGAGGTGATCTGGGTGCCTAAAGTGGTCCTTTAAATTTGAATTTAAAATAAAACAGATAGTGAATTTCACGTTTTTGCTACAACAGGAGAATCTGAAAAATATCTCCAAAGTCTGCTTTTCTTTAATTTCACCTATTTTGGACTTAAATTTAAAAAGTCAATTTAGGTTCACTCTGAAAGAAACAAATAATTCATGGTATTTTCCTTGAAGGTGCAAATTAACTGAGTCTAAATTATGGAAAGAATGTCACTCAAATGATTCCTAAATTTTAGCACAGCAAATGGGCAGATGATAAACCACAAGTAAATATGTTACCTCATTCCACAGAGCATCCATGACATACAGAGCCTGAAATGCACACACCAAAATCATGGAAAGAGACGGGGAGCCTCGTAGCTCGACCTCCTTCACCAGGAAGCACAGGTTGATTAAACACTACGGACCAAGGGGAGAAATAGTAAGACCTTATGATCATTATCCTATAAAGTTGCAGCCATTTTGTTGTGAAATTTTTATTTAAAGTTTTCAAGCATCAATGCACAGAACTAAAGGTTAGAATAAGGAACTGAATTAGGGAAATTAAGATCATATATTCTTATTGTACATTTATATATTGAAGGGCTGCATCACATTCAAATATGAGCGACTTGCAAATTAAAGGATCACTATAGGGTCAGGAACACAAACATGTAGTCCTGACCCTATAGTGTTAAAACCACCATCTAACCCACCTGGGCCCCTCCTGCCTCCATACATATAGAAACATCTTACTGTATTCAAGCCTGATGTTGTAACTCTGCATGCTGTTTGTCTCAGAAAAACAAGCTTTCTGCTGACATTATCAGAAGTGGTAGCCTGATCCAATCACAGTGCTTCCCCATAGGATTGGATGAGACTGACAAAGAGGCAGATCAGGGACAGAGCCAGCACAACTCAAACACAGCCCTGGCCAATCAGCATCTCCTCATAGAGATGAATTGAATCAATTAATCTCTAAGAGGAAAGTTCAGTGTCTGCATGCAGAGGGAGGAGACATTGAATGTTTGGATGCATTTTAGGCAGCCATGACCCAGGAAGTATCTCTAACAGATATCTGATGAGTGGCCAGTGAAGTTATCACTAGGCTGTAATGTAAACACTGCATTTTCTCACCAGAACAAATTCAATAAGCTGTAGTTGTTCTGGTGACTATAGTGTCCCTTTAACATAAAATATTGATTAAAACTAATATGTGAGTGCTCCAAAAAAAGTCATCACCATTCTCAATCTGCACTATAGTTAACCTATATCGGTGATGACATCATAGTTTGTAAAACGGGGCATTTTTACTAAATAATGCTCCACCAAAAATAAAAATTACAACACTATAATAATAAAAATACATTTAATTAATTAATAAGAATGGTGATGACTTTAAAGTAGTGTTAATTAGCCCTGTACGATAAGAAGTGGAGATTGATTATTTTTGGTGGAGCAAAGAAATTCCCCTTTTACGAACGATGATGTCATCACCGATATAGGTTAACTTTGAACTAGAGTGTATATATAGTCAGCATCATTCTAATAGACTTTAGTCTTGAGAAAGTCTTATGATAAGACGAAACGGGTAGACTGTCTTTTTTATTATACTATTCACTGCATCTCCAGCATGATTTTTATGACCCGGTAGCGATTCTCGGTCACAGAAGCTGCCTGTCAAAGTGACGCAAACATACTTACCTCTTGGCGGGCAGGTTGGCGTGCTCCCCCAGCCTCACGTGAAGTACAGCGTACTGGGTAACTTGTTCTGGCTTACCCCCATAGTTTTTTTTTCAGACTTAAAGCCAGTTCCAGTGCAGCTCCCTTAGTTGATACAGAGACATTTGGTGGGTTTCAGAGCTCCCTGCCATCCGGGTACAACTTTCTATATTTTTTTTGATTATCTTGTCTATGACAACGGATCTCTCAGTTCCGATTTTTTTGGACATAGGCTACTATCAGTGTAGGGGCCTCCACACTGTCTAACAGATTCTTGTCCTGGCACTCTGATACAGTTTAACCTTGTCATTTTCTAATTGGTTTTATGTCTGATCTATGTTTTATATTAATTACACGTGTATGATTTTCATTGATGTCTTGTCTATTTATGATATTATGTAGATTTGCACCTTTGATGTGACTGGATTTTAAATGTCTTTTATATTTAGCGAATAAATAGCTGTTTCCACCTATCCACATATAGTGCTTCGTGGTTATAGAGATTTTTGCTTGATAAATATTTGACGAGATCCATCACCACATGATAATATATCTGGAAGTTCTTATGCAACATTTTTTGTTACTTTGTATTCATAATACTTGATACAATTTGTTTTTCATTTGCCAATGCAGATTGAGAACGGTGAAGACTTTTTTTTGGAGCGCTCACATTAGTTTTAAGCATCAATGCACAGACACATTCAATAAAATGAACTTGCATTAACATCGCAGAACATCCCATTGTTAAACGGATATGCACATAGATATTCCAGTTAGTTTGCAAACCAGCCAGAAGGGGCACTGCCCCAATTCATGAAAGTATGTCCCTCTGTTGCATCAGTCTCTCCACCACTCATGGACCACTAAAGTCACCAAGCCCACTTCCTCTCAATAAAATAGCCTGGGTGCTGTGATTTTGTAGGTTTAACCCTGTAATGTAAAAAAGTGACCCTGCATGTTAACCGTTTGATATGTTTTTAGAAACTGCAATGTTTACATTGCAGGGTTAAATCCTCCTCTAGTGGTTATCATACGCACAGTTACTCGAGGCGAGCAATGCCAAGGTAACCTCAGCACTTGAATAAGGTGAGCAAATACAATTCTTAAAACTGTTTTTCTGTCAAAAAGGGAATGGAGTGGGGGGGGACGGGCTTCGTAGATAGGATCAGAAACACAAAGGCATTAGGAATACACGATTATATTCCTAACACATTATTGTTTCTTTAATGATCATTATTAAAAAATATCCATAAAGATGAAAACAGGGGGATAAGGGCAGGCTACGTACCCACAGCCAGAAGATAAGACTGCCAGCAAATAAACTACAAGGAACAATTAGCAAGATGATATGTTAATCGAACATCTGAAGCAATATGAAACCAATTCTATTAGGACCAGACACATCACAGAGCAGTAAACCACATACTCACCCAACCAATAAGTCCAGGACGCAGCTCACAGAAATACTTCAAATCAAAGGAGCCAATTCGAGGGTTCAGCTCGTGTCCAATGAAGAAGTCGTAAATGGGATTACCTGAGGGAGCAAATGGCTGAATTATAATCAACCGTACCCCACGCAGTGTCAACAAATTCTGCAGCAATGGATACAGTGATTTAAGGGAATAATAACAGTTTAACACAAGAATACAGTATGTTTTGTGACTCTGCCTGTAATTTGACAATCCAAATGGTGTACATAGAGACCAGACTTTAATAATTATAGATGTGGATGGAGAGCAAGAGTCAAATGAATGAATAAAAGTAAATACGGATAGTACAATGTTAGATACCTGAATTACCGCCTGGGGCCAGTGCAGAATCAGGTGCTGCCAGGGCCTTAAAATACAGGAAGATGCTGAGGGCTAGAGCCAGGAATCCCGCACCCACAGCCAACTGTAGGAAATGGTCATAGACGTAGGAAAGAGGCAATTTCAGTACAAACGCAACACCTGCCAGCAGGAAGCTCACAACCATGGCATGAAACGCTGCAGGGGGACACATGGCATAACTTTGTTAGCTTAACGTTAGCATACATGATGAAAGGCGCATACAAGCTCTCATACACAGAATAAATTCAACCCACTTCATAATGGGAAGCAAGCAAGGTAGAGGTTGGTTCAGTCCTGCCCCAAGTGATAATTTACATATGAATAAATACAAATCTCCCCCCTTGCCCCCCAGGGCTGGATTAGCATAGGGGCTGATGGAGCTGGAGCTCCAAGCCCAGGCCCATGTAATAGGCCCATTTAAAAAAAATGTAAAAATTAACTTTTTTATTTATTTATTTTTTTAAAAAACACTACTCTTAGCGTTGCCACCTGACTGGTATTTTACTGGCACAGCCGGTATTTGAGGCTTCCTGGCTGTGCCGGTATTGCAGTAATACCGGAAATACAAATGCAGGTAATTTTCTCAGTATAAACGAACATTACTCTGCAATACCAGCACCGGCCAGTAGGGGTCACAGCATATCCCTGCCTCTCTCTACTACTCACTGATCCGTGGGGGAGCAGCTACACAGCAGAGAGAGTCCAGACAGCAGCTCTATAGCTCAGGTAAGTGAGGGATGGGGTGAAAGTCTGCAGGGAGACCTGGGGACACTGAGACACATGGGGACAGAGACACTAGGGGACACTGGGAGACCTGGGGACACAGATACTTGGGGACACTGGAAAACATGGGGACACTGTGCGACATAGGGACATTGGGAGAAACTGAGACATTGGGACACAGACACTAGGGACACAGTGTCACCATGTCCCCCAGCCAGTGTCCCTAGTGACTCAGTGTCCCCATGGCTCTCAGTTTCCCCTAGTCTCCCAGTGTCTGTGTTCTCATGTCTCTCAGTGTCCCTATTGACTCAGAGTCCCTATGTCTCCCAGCCAGTGTCCCCATGTCTCCCAGCCAGTGTCCCCATGTCTCCCAGCCAGTGTCCTCAGTGTCCCCATGTCTCCCAGTGTCTGTGTCCCCATGTTTCTCAGTGTCCCCATGTTTCTCAGTGTCCCCATGTCTCCCATGTCTATGTCCACAAGTGTCCCCATGTCTCCTAGTGTCCCCAACTGTCTGTCTCCCAGCCAGTGTCCCTAGTGTCTCAGTATCCCATGTCTCCCAGTGTCCCCTAGTCTCCCACTGTCTGTGTTCCCATGTCTCTGTGTCCCTAGTGTCTTATTTCCCCAAATGTTTCAGTGTCCCCATTTCTCCCAGTGTCCCCAAATGTCTGTGTCCACATGTCTCCTAGGGTCTCCATGTCTCCCAGTGTCCCCATGTCTGTATTCACATGTGCCCCCATGTCTCCCAGTGTCCCCATGTCTCACTGTGTCCCCTAGTATCCTAGTGACATGGGGACACACTGAGACATGGGGACACTGGGAGAAATGGGGACATTGAGACACTGGGAGACTAGGGGACTGGGCGACATGGGGACACTGTGATACATAGGGGCACTGAGATACTGGGTGACTTGCGAGACTGGGAGACAGGGAGACACTGGGAGCAATTCCTCTATTCAGCAGAATCAAACTGCTTTACAGAATTTTCTCTTATGCCACTCCTTGTGATTTACATCATGTGATGTCACGCATAACTAATTATACAAATGATTTAGGCTGGTATTTTTTTTTTTCAAGAAAGGTGGCAACCCTAACTACTCTTCACATACTCTTGCTTAAAGGAACACTATAGGGTCAGGAACACAATCATGTATTTCTGACCCTATAATGTAAAAACCACCATCTTGCCCCCTTGGCCCCTTCTTGCCTCCCTAAATATAGTAAAATCTTACTTGTATTCTGTAGTTTGCAGCTGCTTGCTCTGCCTCTGAACTGATTCTGTCTGCTGACATCATCAGAAGTGGTGGTCTGAGCAAACTGCAATGCTTCCCCATAGGATTGGCTGAGACTGTCAACTAGGCAGATTAGGGGCAGAGCTAGCACAAGTCAAACATAGCCCTGGCCAATCTGCATCTCCTCATTAATTGAATCAATGCATCTCTATGAGGAAAGTTCACTGTCTGCATGCAGAGGGTGTAGACACTGAATGGCAGTGATGCACACTAGGCAGTACTGCCCCAGGAAGCACCTCTAGCAGCCATCTAAGGAGTGGCCAGTGGAGTTATTTTCTCTGAAAAGACAGTGTTTACTGCAAAAAGCCTAAAGGGAATGATTCTACTTACCAGAACAAATACAATAAGCTGTAGTTGTTCTGGTGACTATAGTGTGCCTTTAAGTTTGGAAGTGTAAGAGGGATGTATGGCAACAAAACTTGTGTGGACTGGCTGACAATAAAATTAGTTTAGGTAATGCAGACTTTGGTTTCTCTAACACTGTGGCATGTCCCCTTTCTTCTACACTCACTACATACACCTTTACTCTGTCCCAGACTATATACCAGGAACTTCTGCCTGCCAGTAAGACAATAAGGAGGCAAGTGGACATGTGAGTGCTAGGGGACAGTCCTTAGAAAGCGTGTAGTAGGCGCATCATTTGATGCATTTATGTCAAGCTCTGGGTGCTGCCTGCATAGTATGCCCTTAGTTGGACAGCATTCATGCCAGGCTGGCCTTCCAATTCTTTGGACAGACATGCCCCCTTTTTGGGCATGTTCACCCCTTTTGGTAGGTCTGGTCACGTGATTTGTGTCAGTGGCACACCCTTTTACCCTTCCCTTTGACTTCCTGTTTCACTGGACACTGCTGTTAGGGGTTCTGGATTTACTTGAAAGATGAAAGCATAAATTAGAGAGAGATTAGCATAGAGTATGTGTTTTCATATAGCTGCATCATTTGAGTTTCCCTCCAACGCCATCTACATCAGATAAATGACGCTTGGGAGGTATGGTTGTTTTAGTGGTTTTGGTCGATAAGATTCTGTAAATAGGCCCCATCATAATTGTCAGCTCCAGGCCCACTGGGCTCTTAATCTGGCCCTGTCTTCCCCCCCCCCTAAAAAAAGCAAAAATTCAACCTGTTCTCCCAAGTTGGTTAAGGGGTCACTCCACACCTCTAAAGCACTTTTGCTTGCTAAAAAGCTTTATGTATGAGGAATGTGTTGTTTTTTTTTCATTTTGCAAAAAGTGCAGATTTCAATAGAAATTGACACTTTTATAAATTAAAATGGGTACACCCCTTGACTTTCCAACTGACAACAGGTCCTGTTACTTCATGGTTTGGTTAGCTCAGTGGAGTTAAACTTAATTGCCCTCAACTGCCTTGCAGACTTCTCACTGAGCTGCATTGGCAAGTCTGTGATTGGACAACTACGGAAAGTCTGGGCGGGGTTAGAAGAGGAGGGATTGCAATGGCTGCAGACAAGGCGGCAGATTTTGCAAGCTGTTTTTAGATATATCCCTAATGAAAAAATGCATAATTAAATTCTTGCAAGGTTTCACTTGGGGTATATCTACAAAACAGTGAGTTATATTTATTTTGTATATGGGCAGTGGAGTGTCCGTCTGAGTACTGCCAGCAAATAAAAAAACACATAGAAAAGCCATTGAAAACAAAGGTGTAAGCCAGTGCCAGAACAGACTCCTCACTGCAGCTTAATAAGCCTAGTGTGAAGTCATCACTCCTGATGATTTCTATGTAATCAGAAACGTTGAGGATGCATGGAGCCTGCAAGCCAATAACCCCCCCTTTATCACATAAAATATGCAAACATCCAAGGAGAGTGAATACTTGTGCAAAGTGTTGCTATTTTCTTACCATTAATTTTATATTTCAAACGGGTTTTATCTCTTAAGGGGATTCCTTCAACTACCTGTAAATAGGAAGAAACATTATATTCATATTAGTTATTTCCATATTGGTTATTATATTCATATTGGTTATTTATATTGGTTAGTGCATAATTTTAACATGAAAAAATGACAGGGAGGGTGAATGTCTATATGTAGTGGAGTGCTGCTATAGAAGAAGTTGACAAAATAGTGTTTCTGTAGAAAAATGGAGGGTCAAGCAAATTTAATAGAAATTGAGTGATATCACCAGGTACATGCTTGCACCATAACCACTAGAGGGCTGAAGTGGCTATGGTGCTTACAGTGCTTCATTAATGGCCAGGATGAACATAGTTGTCTAGGTTGAAAAAAGACTAAAGTCTATCAAGTTCAACCTTGAAACCCAGTCTTTTATGTTGTTGATCTAAAAGACTCCATAATGGCAATCAGATTTCTCCTTGGCTCAACAACCTATTTACATACATATCAATTATATCCTTGAATATTCTGTTTACGCAAAATGCATCCAAGCCTTTTTTTATGTATAAAATCTGATAAAACAAGCTCTTAAGGCAGAGCATTTACTTCTTTATCTTTGTTCTTACGGTAAAGAACCATTTCCTCTGCTTAAGCGAAAACACCTTTCTTCCAGTCACGAGTGACCTCTTGTCTGTTCTTGCTAATGAACAGGTTAGCACATAGCGGTTTGTACTGACCCTGTGAATATATATATATTTGTATAGTGCTATCATATCCCCTCTGAGGCGCCTTTTTTCTTATTAAACCAAATCCAGTTTTTAAGCTTTCCTCATAACTAATGTTTTCCATTCCCCTTACTAATTTTGTTGCTCGCCTCTGCACTTTCTAGTTCTGCAATATTCTTCTCTAAATCTGGTACCCAAAATTGAATAGCATATTCAAAGTAAGAACTTACCATTCATTTATAAAGAGGAAAAAATTATATTTTGATCACGTGACTCAATAACCCTTTTTATAAATGAAAGCACTTTACTAGCTTTTGCAAAGGCAGACCGGCATTGCATACTGTTGCCTAGTTTGTGATCTATGATTGTCCCCAAGTCCTTTTAATTTAATGTATAAGTGGTTTTGCTGTTGTGGGTGATCAATGTAAGGGGGCTATATTTTTATATATTGCTTAAAAATGGGGGTGGGTCACTTCCAGTCTGTAGTGTTTATTATTGCCATTTAAATATGTGAAGTAGTTTGTATAGAGTGTTTACCTTCCCCATGGGTAGCATATATAATATAGCTTGAAATGAGATCCAGGCCAGCAGGACGGTCACAGCGGTTGTGTCCCACAGAGTCTCGAGAGGAGGCAAAGGACCCGGAATACGTAGCACACTGGCTTCCTCTGTGTTACATGTCAGCAGAAGGTAGAATACTGTACCAGGAATCACAAACAAAAGCAGGAACGCACCTACAGACAGTAAAATGCCTGTTACATGGAATCAAAGAAATTCTTTAAATGTTGTACATTGACCAAGAACTTGAAAAATATATGCCAAAATAGCAATCTCTGTGCTAATTTTACCTATATTTTGCAAACTGGTTACCAACTCAAGAAAACTGTCCAGGTTATTCATGTCAATGTGTGATTTGTCCGTAAGTCAAACTGAATTTCAAATTTCAGGTCAAAATAGCTGAACTGGAAACCAGACTTATTCACTAAAGTGAGAATCCAATGTGAATTTTAAGTGAATTTCAAATTTAAGACCAGATTAGCAGAGGTGAAAGCATAGCAGACTTACAATTTTTTTTCATGTTGGATAATGTTTTCTTTTTCTTTGTCATTCACTTTTTTTATTGAGGTAAATGCAGGACAATAATATTAGAAGTTAGACAAAGAATGTCAAAGAGCAACTATGGACAGCATATATGCATACAGATAAGCAATACCCCATTTTATGTTAGAGAAAAAATAAATAAAATAGCTACATTAATCAAAGCCATATCTTGGTTATGTGGTGGCAGTACTGTGTTCCAGTTAAAGAGGGGTAAGATGGCAGGTTGCCTTCAGGACAGTCCTGGTCATGGATCAACCTATGCCCACCCTGGACTGTACAGAACCCCAGATAATGACAGTCTGCCAGATGGCCATAGGCCCAGACCCAGTCAGAAAGATCCACAGCGGCACATTGCAATCTCAAGGCTTTGGGTATGTCTTTGACCTCTGCTGTCCAGTATATAGGTGGCAGTTTGGCTTGGTCCGAATTATCACTTGTAGGCAAAACAGAAGATGCTGGGGCCTTCAGAATCGTGGGGAGGTATGGCCCAGCGTTTTCCCTTGGGTGCGTCTTCTCCCAGGGTGAGACACTCTCAGTGAGGGACTCAGAGGGAAGGTCAGTATCAATTGAGTATTAATTATCGGCTGAGCTTGGCTCAAAATTTTTCAAATAACTGGTGTAGTTTGTCCGGAGTAGAAGATTGCTGGCCCTGGGGGTGGAACAGCTACGCAGCCTCTGCCATATTAGATATGACAGGACACAGCTTGTTTTTTGAGCCACAATAACCCGATAATTTCTGGGATAACCCTCATTGGCGGGGTGAAATAGTTGGGATCCAGATACAGGCTGCAAATCATAGATAGGTAACAGGTGGAGGGATTTGCAGCTTCCATCTCATCTGTGGTTAGTAAACCACTTGAAGGCCGCAGGTCTGCTCCTTTCAAAATCCCCTTATTATCATCAGAGCTGCTTCTAAGAAGTATAGTCTGGTGCCCTCAGGACTAATAAGTAGCTTCAAGCCAGATATATGCATGCACTGCAGGCAATAAATCAGCAAAAAGTGACATTAATAACTCTCTAATTAAGTGTATCTGATCAGCATGGCAGTCAGGCCCAGCCCCCTCTAGTTGGGCTATTTTGACCTTAAATTTGGAAATCACTTTGAATTCTCATTTTAGTGATAACCCTGAAAGTTGACTTGGAGAATGTATCCAGCTCTGTGATTGTGGCCTAAATTTGGAAATTTACTTTTAATTGCTCACATTTCACACATTAGTGAATAACCCTGCCAATATAGCAAACATATTCTGCAACCTATTCTATAGGTACCATAGGCATCTCAGTCACAAATTAAAACATAACAAGACACTCACCAATTGGTCCTCCAAACTCAAATTCACTTGTTCGTGAGATTTTTATCTTGTCTGCCATTTTTAATGTTCACAATGTTTATGAAGCCTGTAATGTAGGAAAGTAACATAAATTTTTTATATGATTTAAGAGAATTTGGGGTTTAAGATGTACAGGAAAGAGCATTGAAGTGTACATTAAAATGGGCTGTGTGAAATAACTTTATGGGAGGTGTACTAAGCAGGTAAACTCCACCATTGGGAATGACGGAAAATAAGTCAAAATAATTTATTGTTCAAAAAGATGCATTATGTTATTTAACGGTTATTATTTTGGGCACTATTCTTTAGGACCCCTACTCCAAATGCTTTAAAAAACATAGACATAGAACACATAGACGGCGCACGTCTATGGAATTGTGTGCTGAGCGTCGAGGAATGCGGCAGCCATTTTGGACCGGTTGCCGCTCTACTGAAGCTATTGAAGAACCCTTAGAAGCTATTGAAGAACCCTTAGATGGCTGCCGCATTCCTCAGCACAGAATGCGGCATCTAGGTGTTCTAGGTCTATGTTAAAAAACGTTATAAATAATGTTTTACGTACCTTGAATACTGCTGTTCATTCATAAGCTAAGAATGTAAGCTGGGCACTCTCAGTCAATAAATGAACCTCGTCCAGAATTAACATTTGCCACCCAGAACATTTGGTCAGGGTTGGCTAATGAAAACAGAGGTGGAGCAGCATAAAATATCTCAAGATATGCAGCGTTAATTTTACTAAAAACACTGCACATACAGATTCCTTGCACCATGACCACTTCAAAACTTTATATATCAACTTGGTACATATTTGGACAAAATTAACTAGTTAAACTAATCACAAAAGAAGACGGGATCAGATGAAACTGACAGGACCCAGATAACTGTCCAACATTTACAAAACGGTTAGACTGCTTACCATTTGACGGTCCAAAGGGCTTCTAGCACTGTAATCAGTACAGCAAGCTACAGTGGTTATGGTGGTATAGGAGTTTAAGCGCAAGGCTTCATTTTGTATGTTTATAGTGGTCATAGTGCCTAGACTGCCCTTTTACAGATAAACTCATCAATAAAAAGCACTGCATAGTTTAACTGAAATAGCCTGACCATGAACTATGCTCTTTTTGTACATAAATATACAGTTATCTGGAGAGGAGGTCACAGATAGCGTGTGAATGCAGATATAGATTTATTACATGCCCATATAATGGCATCTAATGACACGTCTGATTTTAACATAAACATACTCTGCCAAGCTACAAATAAAACAAAGTGCATCTAATTCTAAAGCATTCATTTTATAGTCATAAATGGTTATTGTACTATTAAAATTATGTGACCAATTTTTTTACGCACTATTTAGGTGATGTTCCACTCTTTGTACAAGATGTGTTTTTATTTTTAAAGTTTGCTCTAAATAAAAGTTGTTTTATTTGGTATATAATAATGTAGTTCTATTCTTCTCACTATTCCACAATGAAACACTCAATGATTGCTAATTTTGTGGTTACTATACAAATATAGACTGTGTGTGTTCATATTGGTATATATTTGCATGGAATATAGTCATTTGGAGCAGACACTGTAAGATAGCCACGTGCACACTTTATAAAAATATATATTACATTCTATATAAATAATTGTACATAATAAGATCACTAAGGGTTGTATTCCTTAAATTAGCCCAAACATAGCTAATCTGGTCTAACAATCCCAGCCTGGCTACTTTAACCTGCATTCTGCAGTCAGTATTTCTATTATTTACAATAATTATATACAGAAATCCTGGATTCTGTATGGAATCCCATGTAACATAATCTGAATTAAGACAGGACTGTAGTATCCATGTTAATGTATTTATAAAGCAGTTACATTAAAATTCACACAGTATATTTGTGAATACTTTATCAGAGCTGTGTATACACACACCTACCTGCCAGAGTCTCCTTCTAACCAGCCTGACAGGTCTCTTTAAATCCAAACATCTCCCCAGTCTCTTCCTATAATGTCACAACTGATCACAGCCAATCAGGAGCCGCGCTGCTGAGTTGGTCTTTCAATAGGCGGGGATGGAAGGAGCGGTTAGCCAATCGGAAAGTATAGACTCTCTGACCACGTCCGCCTTATGGCAGCGATAGGGTGGAATGGTAACCATGGAGAGGAATGTTCCTCCCACTGTAGAGAGCTATAGTAAAGGGATTTAAAGGCACAGAGCTATGTAAGGGAAGTGCCAGTGAATATAACTTTCTATTATACACCATTACAGTGCTGTACTTGTAACATTAGAATACAGGAATACAGCCTTGTAGACAGATGTGCAGACAGAGAAAGAGTTAATTGATTTTATCTCTCTTTTTTTTTGTTTAAATAATCTCACATTCAGAAGTTGCAATGACCTACTTATTCTATTCCTTTCTACTAGAATTTTCCCAAAATCTCATATCTGCCTCCCACTGTCTCCTATCTGGTCTCCACTTTATTTCTTATCCATCTTTTTGTTTTGTTTATTTTACATCCTTTTTTTTTTACAAAATATGTCAAAACTATCAAAAAGCAGTAAAACCGGTAATGTGCATGAAAAAAGTACTGTGTCTTTATACAATTAACATAAATACAAGACAATAGTGAGTCCTGAGGTAACATAGACGTAAAATAGAGACAGATGTACTAAAGGTATCGAAAAGCGTAAAACACGAAGAGCGGCAGTGTGAAATAGAGGCATTTATATCAAGAACTTTCCAGAATGTGGTACAAGCAACTACTAGTATCGTCATCCCTCAGAGCCCACTCCAGATGAAAACATGCAGTAAATAGTTTTCAGTGAAAAACAATGTTTAAGTGAAGCACTGTAGTGATTTAGTATAATTACCCCTATATTTGCCGTGCTATGAATTCACTTATAACATGTAAACCAAATATATATATATATATATAGAATATTGTTATACTGTGATAACAAAAATATTTTGTGCAAATTTTAGTTGTGAGGTATTAGACTCACATTGGAAGGAGCCTTAAATGACTGGCTCTCATATTATGTGCTTTTGTGCCTTTTAGGTGGCACATCACCTTTCTTCACAGGTTTCTATCCGCTAACGCTGAGAGAACACAAGATAGAACACACCTCTAGTGTAATACTTCTGATGTAAATACATTCAGTATGTAAGAGAAACTTGCTCGCCTGGAACACATGCGGCTCAAGGTTAAAACGTTGTGCTGATGTAGGGCGGCACTCCCCTTCTTTGAGCAGAGTGTAAATCCTGGGTATAATCAGATAGGGATTCCACAGGTACAGATCATGATGTACACAAGTTATTTATTATTATTATAATGAACAATATATATACAGTGGGACCTCGGTTTACAAACACCTCGGTTAACATAATTTTCGGTTTACAAATGAAAATCCATTGAAACTAATGCCTCGGTTTACAAATTTGTTTCGCAATACAAAGCAAGTTTCCCCAGGATGCATTGCACCTGGGAGGTTTATAGCACCGCCCCCTGCATGCTGGAGCCTGTGGGTAGCACGTGGCGTCGAGTGTGGAGGTGTTGGAGCAGCTTTTGCATCAGGTTTTGGAGCCATTCTGGAAATTGTTTGCAGTTGTTTTGGGACTTATTGGTGCATTTCTCAAGCTGTGGAAAGGTAGGGAGCTGAGCTTTGTCGTTTGCATGCCTTTTATTGTGTGTTTGTTGGTTTCCATGCCAGCTCATTTTGACTTTTTTCTGACCTCCAGAACGGATTAATTGATTTTCAATGCATTCCTATGGGAAACCGCGTTTCGGATTACAGATTTATCGCAATAAGAAACGTCCCGAAGAACGCACTAAATTCGTAAACCGAAGTCCCACTATATATATATCGTTTACCCATCCTAAATGTAGAGGAGGGCTTAAATCATTATTTTAAGTCTTTACTATCTGACCATCATACTTAACAGAATATACAACTGGACGAGGACCGATGTGGTAAAAAAAAATGGAAGCCGATAGTGCATTCACAAATAAAGGGAAAATTACTGCCATAAAGGGGTGTACGTGGTCTGCAACAATCTCTAAGTAGGTGGTACGTGAAACGGTAACATCCACATGAATGCCAGAATGCCCAGAGCATGATACTGCCTCCGCCAACCTGCCTTCTTCCCATAGTGCATCCTGCTGCTGTCTCAATTCACATGCACCCCGCCATCCAGCTGATTTAAAAGAAACCATGATTAACCAGACCCTGCTCCATGGCCCATTTCTGATGCTCAAGTCCCGATTGAAGGCACTTTTGGCGGTGGACATAGGTTATCATGGGCACTCTGACTGGTCTCTAGCTACGCAGCCACATACACAGCAAACTGTGATGCACTTTATGTTCCGACACCTTTCTATCATAGTCAGTATTAAGTTTTTCAACAAATTAAGCTAAAGAAGCTCTTCTGTGTAATCGGACGAGATGGGCTAGTCTACGCTCCCCATGTGCATCAATGAGCCTTGAGAGCCATGACCCTGATGCTGGTTCACCTATTGTCTTCTTATGCACAGTTTTTGGTAGGTACTAACCACTGCTTACTAGAAACACCCCACAAGACTTGCCGTTTTGGAGATGCTCTAACCCAGTCATCTAGCCATCATTATTTGGCCCTTGTCAAAGTCACTCAGATCTTTTCGCTTGTCCATTTTTCCTGCTTCCAACACATGAAGTGAAAGGGCTGGCTGTTCACATGCTGCCTAATATATCCTACCATTTGACAGGTGCAATTTTAATGATATAATCAATGTTGTTCACTTCACCTGTTAAAGATTTTAATGTTGTCGCTGATCAGTGTATGCAATGTCATAAAATAATAACAATTATGGGGCTGGGCTGGACCACCATGCTAACAGGTCGCATGCAGGAGAGACTCTTAAGCTACCAGAGGCAGACTCTGCCCAAAAAACGAGCCCACAAGATGCCCACGGCTGTGGGAGAAGTAGTGGACCCAGAGATCGGGAGTTTTGGACACCATGGGGAAGGCACGAAGCTTCAGGGGCTGTGGACTACTTGGGAGGGGAGCGAGGTGGACAGCTGCTGCCAGTCCTCCCTTCCCGGCTACCATACGCCGACTGCCTGAGTCGCTTGCCGGCTCTGTTCCCCCCCTTTGGGCCGGGGGGTCATCCCTCTCCCCACTGAGGAGAGCCCGAGATGGGAGGAGACTGAGGCGCACGGAACACTGAAGGCCTACCTCACACATTGACGGCGGCTCACGGCACTTCACAACATGCTCCTGCACCATGGAGCCCCTGTGAGCTACAATCACGCCACCCATCCCGATGGCCCCAAAGCAAATTGACAGACTAATCCATCGACCACCCAGGTGAGCCAAGACTGCGGTGTGGAGCAGTCAAGCAGACATGCTCAACCATCTACACGCAGGCCAAGCATTGAACTCGCCTGGCGACCGGGCCTGACAGGAGAGGGTCTGCTGCACACAGACATGTACCTGTGACCAAAAGAACCTGAGGGTCACCACTACTCCTACTCAGGGCCGGACTGGCCCACCGGGATACCGGGAAATTTCCCGGTGGGCCGTCGGCACCTGGGGTCCGGCAGCACACAGGTAGCAATTATGTGTGTGAGTGTATGTCTGTGTCACGGTGTGTGTCATGGTGTGTGTGTCTGTCTGTCATGTAATGTGTGTCTGTGTCATGGTGTGTGTTTCTGTCTGTCATGTAATGTGTGTCTGTGTCATGGTGTGTGTTTCTGTCTGTCATGTAATGTGTGTATGTCTGTGTCATGGTGTGTGTGTGTGTCATGGTGTGTGTGTGTGTCTGTGTCATGTAATGTGTGTCTGTGTCATGGTGTGTCTGTGTCATGTAATGTGTGTTTGTGTCACGGTGTGTGTCTATGTCACGGTTTGTCTGTGTCAGTGTGTGTGTCTGTCTGTGTCAGGGTGTGTGTGTCTGTGTCACGGTCTGTCTGTGTCACGGTCTGTCTGTGTCACGGTGTCTGTCATGGTGTGTCTGTCATGGTGTGTGTGTCTGTCTGTGTCACGGTGTGTGTGTGTCATGGTGTGTCTGTCTGTGTCATGTAATGTGTGTCTGTCTGTGTCATGTAATGTGTGTCTGTCTGTGTCATGGTGTGTGTGTGTGTCTGTGTCACGGTGTGTGTGTCTGTGTCACGGTCTGTCTGTGTCACGGTCTGTCTGTGTGTGTGTCTGTGTCATGGTCTGTGTGTGTCTGTCTGTGTCATGTAATGTGTGTCTGTGTCATGGTGTGTGTGTGTGTGTGTGTCTGTCTGTGTCATGGTGTGTCTGTGTTTCTGTCTGTGTCACAGTGCGTGTGTGTGTATGTCTGTGTCACGGTCTGTCTGTGTCATGGTGTGTGTCTCTCATGGTATGTGTGTGTGTATGTATGTGTGTCTGTGTGTGTTTTTTAAAAGTGTTTTTACTCCCTTTTTTATTTTTATTTTTTTCACGTCGTGCTGGTCTCCCCTCCTCTATGGCGGAGATCATCAAGCATCAGCCAATCCGCACTGACACAGGAAGCACCTCTAGTGACCGTCTGAGTGTCTGTCGCTAGGAAGCAATGTAAACACTGCATTTTCTCTGAAAAGTCAGTGTTTACATTGAAAAGCCTGCAGGGACAGGCTATAGACACCAGAACCACTTCATTAAGCAGTGTGTGTCTGTGCGCGCCTGCTAGTGAGTGGGCTTGCTTGCATGTGTGTGTGTGTGTGTGTGTGCCTACTACTGAGTGAGCTTGTGTTTTTATGTCAATGACCTTATGTAAATCAGTGAGATTGTTTGTCTATGAGACTGTGTCTCAATGAGCTTGTGTCGGTGAGATTGTCTGTGTCTGCATGTGAGTATGCTTACTGTATAATTAAACATTTTACTCTGAAAGAACCAGTATTTTATATTAGAAAAAGCAATATATATATATATATATATATATATATATATATATATTACTCAATCATCTGGGGTGGCAAGACATAGCCTTACATATTACATGCGACAATATATGGCGCAATGACTTATGGGGCTGGCATAGATTTTTTTTTTTCCAGGGCTGCTTTGTATCCCCAGTCCAGCCCTGCATCTATAGAACGTGTCTGATAGGTTAAGCCTGTTACCCAAAACACAAAATGCGTAATTATCTATGCCACTATTTAGCCTGTTTATATACAAGTGTATGCTGTTGTGGCATTTGTCGATGTTTTTGTGATCACTTGTGCAACAAAAATAAAGAATTATAAAAAACAAAATAATAATAACAATTATAAAAAATGGCATAACTTAGAATCAATAATAAGATCATCAGCCTGCCTGGAGTTTAAAGGACCACTATAGTGCCAGGAAAACATACTCGTTTTCCTAGCACTATAGTGCCCTGAGGGTGCCCCCACCCTCAGGGACCCCCTCCCTCCCGGCTCTGGAAGGGGGAAAGGGGTTAAAACTTACCTTTTTCCAGCGCTGGGCGGGGAGCTCTCCTCCTCTGATCCTCCTCCTCTCCTCCCATGCGGCTGAATGCGTACGCGCGGCAAGAGCTGCGCGCGCATTCAGCCGGTCACATAGGAAAGCATTATCAATGCTTTCCTATGGATGCTTGCGTGCTCTCACTGTGATTTTCACAGTGAGAAGCACGCAAGCGCCTCTAGCGGCTGTCAATGAGACAGCCACTAGAGGATTTGGGGGAAGGCTTAACCCATTCATAAACATAGCAGTTTCTCTGAAACTGTTATGTTTATAAAAGAATGGGTTAAGCCTAGCTGGACCTGGCACCCAGACCACTTCATTAAGCTGAAGTGGTGTGGGTGCCTAGAGTGGTCCTTTAAATTAGAAATCCATTTCATTTCTGATTGTCCTAGTTTTCTAATTATATCATCTCATTTCCAATTACGGATTACTTTTTGAATCGCTAAAAATCCTCAGATTGATTCTTTAAAAAAAAAAATTTCTTAATCCAAAAAAAATACAGGTATTGTTTAAACAAAAGTTGAATTAAATAGTGATAGCAGCATGGTACAAAATACATTAAAAAAGCCATTATCGTGAGCAGTAGTATGGACAATGGGATTAAGGGTTTTATATTTAAAGAAAATTAATATGTAAGCAGCCGTGATAATGTCGTAGATAAAAGTAAATAAAGGGTTAAAACCTTTGCCTTAGTTAAGTCCCTCCACATATGTGGGGGTTAAAAGTTAAATTCTTTATTCCTGCTTTATTCCTGCTCTTTGTAGCTGCCTCCTCTTTCATGAAACGTTACTTTGGTATTCTAGCATAGCTTAGATAACACTTTCTCAAGTAAGTAATTGTTGCGCAGTAGACTAATGCTATAACATATATGCAATGCTCACCCAATTAAAAGACGAGATGATATTTGAACTACAATGGAGTAAGTCTGTGGTTTTATCATTGGTTCTCCCAAGCGCTCGTACATCTAATTAGGAGCCTCTAGTTATCTCTTGGATGATCTATCCATTATATATTTCTACGCCCTGTTCCAAATTATTATGCAGATGATATTTTTCTCATTTACCTAAATAATTGATGTAAATAACAGTCAGCATAATTCTCATGTTATCAACTATTAAGAGTACAATTCAAATTTTATTGAACAAACCTCCTAATGAGGTTTTTGTTAAACATAAAAAAACTTACAATTCA